AAATGGGGATTATATATTTAAAATCAATTTTCAAATAAACTAGAATTACATTCAAAATCATATATGATATTTTGAAGTTCACGATGATCCTTTCCCCTTAACTGACTCACAATCCACAGCAGTGAACTTGAGCAGTAATGTTTGTCCCCAATGACCTTGTTTCCTGAGTTACAACCCTTTGAGGGAAGGATCAGCATCTCTCCTACACTAGACCAATAATAACTCCCCTTCAAGGATGCAGAACCTGGACTGAGAAAGATAGCTGTGGAACTCTCACATGTGAACCTGGAACCATGGACCAATCTGGTAGATTGTACTTAACTGTCCCACTGAAATTGGGCATAATCACATGACTTCCTTAGACTAATGATCAGAATGCTCTCAACAAGTGGTGAAATATCCACATGCAAAAGAATGAACTGGACCTCTACTTCACACCATGTACAAAAATAACACAAAATAGATCAAAGACTTAAATGTAAAATCTAAAACTATTAACTCTTAGAAAATTAGGCAATGGTTTCTTGGATATGATACCAAAACACAAGGAACCAAAACAAAAGATAAACTGGACCTCACACAATCAAGAGAATGAAAAACAACATGAAATAGGACAGAATATATGCAAATCACATATTTGATAGAGATCTAGTATCTAGAATATATAAAGAACTCCTACAAGTCAACATTTAAAAGATAAATTTTAAAATTATTTAAAAATTTAAATATATCATTCTCTCCAAAGAAAATGCATGAATAGGAATATGAAAAGATGCTCAACATCATTAGTCATTAGAGAAATTTAATCAAACGCCACAATAAGATACTACTTCACACCCACTAGGATGGCTATAATAAAAAGTTGGAAACTAACAGATATTGGGAAGATATAGAGAAACCAGCACCCTCATATTTTACTGGTGGGACTGTAATAGGGTATAGCTACTTTGTAAAATAGTTTGGCAGTTCCTCAGAAACAAATGTAGAGGACTATATGACTCACAAATACCATTTCTAGGTATATACCCAAGAAACTGAAACCAAATGTTCACACAAAAACCTACACAAGAATGTTCACTGCAGCATGTTCATAATATCCCAAATGTCCTTTAACTAGTGAATACAGAAAATGTGGTATATCCATACAGTGGATAAAAAGAACTGAAGTACTGTTTCATGCTACAACTTGGATAAAACTCAAAAAACATTATGCCATATGAAAGAAGATAAATACAAAGGGCAGTATATTGTATGGTTCCAATTATCTGAAATGTGCAGAACAGGCACATCCATGCCAACAGAAATTAATGAGTGGTTATCAGGGAATGGAAGGAGGAATCAGAATTGACTGTTAATGGATAGGAGATTTCTTTTTAGAAAAATAAAAATGTCTAGGATTAATAATGGTGATAGATGTACAACATAGTAAATATACAAAAAGTCATTGAGTTGTAAACTTTAAAATATTGACTTTTATAATATGCGAATTAAAATTCAATTTTTAAAAATGTATCAGAACTTCAGCATGATATCACTTTACATAAACCAAACTTGTTAAAATAATGACATCATCAAGTGTTGATAAGCATGTAGAGAAACAGGAATTCTCATACACTGCTAGCAAGATGTAACATTTCATAGCCCCAATTAGGGACAGGCAGTTTCCTAAATAAACCTATGCCCATATATGACCCAGGAATTCCACTCCTGCGTATCTACTCAAGAGAAATGAAACTTATGTAAAAACAAAGAAAAAAAATTTTGGCACTGGGAATGAGCCCATGCATACTTTACCATTGAGCCACATCCCCAGCCCTTTTTATTTTTTAATTTTGAGACACAGTCTCACTAAGTAGCACAGATCTTTGCTAAGTTACTGATACTGGTCCCAAACTTGTGATCCTCCTGCCTCAGCCTCCTGAGTTGCTGGGGATTACAGGTGTGTGCCACCATGCCCAGCTAAAACAAAAACTTTTAAGCAAATATTTGTAGTGGTGTTATTCATGAAAGCCAAAATCTAGGAAATGACCCAAATGCCATCAGCTCGTGAATGGATAATACATCATATATTTATACAACGGCAGATAACTCAAAAATAAAAATGAACCATAAACATGTCTATTTTGGATGAATCTCAAAAACATTATGCTAAGTGAAAGAAGCTAGAAACAAAAGACTATGTATTATGTGATTCCATTTATATGAACTTTGTATTGAAGGCAAAACCATAGAAACAACCAGGTCAGTGTTTGCCTGGGGCTAGGGAATGGGATTGGGATTGACAGTAAAAAGATGAGGGAACTCTGGAGGTGACGGAAGAGCTCTAAATCTGGACTGTGGTGATGGTTGCACAAAAGCATACTTAATAAATGTAGATTCGTATATTTAAAAATTTATGGTACTTAAATTATAACTCAATAGTTTTTTTTTTTTTTAAGGCCAGAATACAATTTGCAAAAACTCCCTCCCCTTTGCCATGGCAATGAGCATTATTCCAGATGGTGGTGTTTCCAATGGCCTTCACAACGCACAACAGGATTATCTACAGACTGAAAATGCACATGTAATGGGAACAAGAAATAAACAATTGTAATTTTCAGTCTCCTAGACTTGAGGGTGCTTTATTACCATAGCATATCACAGTGCATTCTGATTAATACAGAAATGAGTTCCAGAGATGATACTGACCCCAGTCAATATTGAGACAGTTCTATCAATGGGAATGAGAGCAATGCCTTAAACACTCTGTGGTATGATTATTTGGCATATGGCACAGAATCAAACAAAAAGCACACTATGTTTTTTGAGAGAATGATACTGCTGAAGAGCAACACACACTGAGAAATGTTCTGACTTTCTGAGACTTAAAATGATCCTTTGACTCCAGTGTGAGGCAGGAAAGAGCTCAGTTCCTGAGGAGGGGGAAATTCCCTACCACTTCAGATAGGGCCACAGAAATTATTATTTTTTTAATTCAAAATCTCTTAGAAAGTGAAACCAGATGCCCAGAAATCAATGGATAAGGACAATGTTCCTAGGAAATGGGATCAAAGTCTAATCAAAGGACATTTCCTACTCCCAAAGTAGAGAGGCTCAACATATGGGATTTTAGAATTGTCACAGACCAGTGTTTGCTGCTTCCCACGCTTCACCTTCTGCCTTTCTGAGTGGGCATGTTCATGGTGGTTGTCCTCCCTCTGTTAACCCATATAGAAACCTTGTGTAGAGGACAAACAGCTTTATAGTTCATGATGCTCACATCAATTTGAAGCCACATTTGGATCTGGAATAAGATTGCAAGGAATGTTGCAGACATGTCTCCACTAGAAAGGACTGGGGGTTGTCTTTGTTGGAGCAGAGTCAGCACTTGGTGTGTAGGAGGGTGAGTGAACCAGATATTTGGTGTCTAGAAAGGCAGTCAGTGCTTCTCCTTCCAGGCACATGTAGGGGTCATACTTTCCTGCGCGGCGGCTGAGGTTGCCTAAAGCTGTGAGACTTGCTTGGACAGGAAATGTATTTTGTTTGTTTTGGGATTGAACTCTGGGGCACCTGGACCACTGAGCCACATCCTCAGCTCTATTTTGTATTTATTTAGAGACTGAGCAACTCAGTGCCTCACTTTAGCTGGGGTAGGCTTTGAACTCATGATCCTCCTGCCTCAGTCTCCTGACCTGCTGGGATTACAGAAGTGCGCCACTGCGTCTGGCCAGGAAGTCTGCTGGTTAAGATGCAAGTCATATACACAATACTCCTTTCCTCCTCTCATTCCAGATAGAGAATAATCTGGCAGTCCAGGGGCCTGAATGAGAACAATGTGGAGTTAATTTTTTACTGGCCTGAAATAGTGATAGAGCATGATTAAAAAAAAAAAAAAATTTAAAGAGCCTTTGTTACCATGAGCCATTAGCAGAAGGAAGGAACTGTAAGAGAGAGACAGGAGAATTGTTCCCCAGGTCTCAAAACCTTTTCCATTCTGAATATACAGACTTCCTAAGGGTCTCCTCATTCTTGTCCCTGGATATGTCTTGCAAGTTTTGTTTTTAAGCTAAATGCAGTTCATTTCTTCCCTTTCAAACCAAAGAGTTGTAACTAATGTTATTCGCAAATCTAACAAGCTCTTCATACAGAAGAATAAAGGATGACAAGTAGGAAAGGAGGTGACACACTCCAGCCTTAATGTGGATATGACAGTGACAGGCAAGTTTTGCACCATACCCACTTCCAGCCGGGCAGGAAAGTACGACCCTGACATGTGTCTGAAAGGAGAAGCACCAGAAATTCATGATGAACAACATTAAGGACTGCCTTTCTAGCCACCAAATATCTGGTTCATTCTTCCTCCTGCACACAAAGTCCTGAGACCACAAGTAGACTACATTTCTCTGTTTCTTTTGTCATTAGGTAAAGCAGGGTGACTGAGATTTAGCCAAGGGTTTGTGGGGTGGACAAGAGTATTTTATATTAGATTAGCCCATTGTGATTCTCACTTGCCTCTTCTTCTGATCCTCTTGGAGCTGAATGAGGTAGTAAAATTGTTCCCATTTCACAGAGGGGTTAGGCAAAGTTCAGAGAAATTAAGTGATTCAAGATGGAGATTGCATGTCTCATATAGCCAAGTTCAGGCTTAAAGACAGATTTCCTAATTCCCAGAGAGTAGGACTTTTACCCACTATGCTATAGAGAATGCTGAAGACTCCTTAAATCGTTCATTTTAGCAGCTAATTTAAATCTCTGGCTTATTAAATAGATTATAAAAAGATAAAAGAGAAGGTAGTCCTCCCCTCAAGACAACTGTACCATCCCACTTATCTCTTCATGCCTAGGGCTCAGCTAAGATTTGGCACAAGGTAGAGCTTTCACAACTGTCAAGAATAGGGGTGTGGGGAGGAGAATCTTGTCAAGAAACAAAAACTTAAGTCTATATCATGTGAAAATTAAAGACCAGTGAAACATATGTTGTACAGCTTTTATATATACACCAACTAAAAGAAAACTGCAGATGCATCAAGTGTCATTTATTTAAGGAACAATTCAATTGCATGTTGTAGGTAAACCAGTTATAGCAATATGAAAATACAGAATTCTGAAAAACAAAACCTGGCAACTTAAACATGTATTTAATAATGCAGAATATTCTGTAATACTAAGGAATGAAAAATAAAACATGTTGACTTGCAATTTGGGATGATTTATTTGCACTTAAAAATGCAATTTCTAAGATGACATCTGTTTTCCAAAAATGTTTGAATGGTTAAAAAAAAATAGCCTACAGGAAATGCTGTCTTCATGTTGAAAATTTAGATCAAATATCAGCATTAAACTTACAAATTGCAGACAAAACATTAACACAATCAACAAGAGAATACTCATTGGGAACATAGCTTTTATATTAAAATTATAAGAAGTTCACAGTTTCTTCTTGATTTGTATTGATAAAATGCTTTTACAGCTTCAATCTATTTCACTTTCAGGTACCAGTGCCTAGTTGAACAGCAGAAGGATATTACTGACACATTCATCTCACACAGACTCTTACATCTTCAATTTCTAAAAACATTTTGTTTTGTAAAACTGTGACTGCTGAGAATGTGAAAGGCAGGAGATTAAGCTCAAATGTGGTGAAGAAAAAGGTAAGATACTGAAAATTTTTACTAAGAAAATTGAACTATAAAGTTCATATATGTAGCTCTGATTATTCAACAGGAAACTCCAAACTGGCTTACAAAATGCTATGGCTTTCAACTTTTTTTAAAATTCAAACAAAAGTAAAAATAATGTTATTAAATAATTTCAAAAGCCTCCTACATGTACAAGTTAACATTAGGGGCTTCTAGGTAGCCAGACTACAAGACAGGTTTATTTTCTGTTTTGAGAGAAAGCAAAGTTTCCCAAATGAAACAGTATAAAATAAATTTGCCTTGGAAAATAAATTTCAGTAAGAAAATAATACTTCTCACTTATTAAATATATATATATATATATATATTTGCTTTTAAATATAATTTAGCAACCTGCATCAAAAAAATTAAGTGTTCTATGAACATTTGCAAATAAATATTTTAAAACACCAATATATACATGAGTCAGTACTCTTTTAGGTGTTTAGATACCAACAATCAGCAAAGAAAAAAAATGATAATAAATAAACTACTTACTTATAGAATTTGTATGACACAGTATAAGAAAACAACATATTGTTGAGAATTAAACAGTTTTTCTGGACAGCACATAGTCAAACACATATGCCCTCCCTCTGTAAATTTCAGTTAAACAGAACCCAACAATGCTGTTTTCTTAAGCCATTAAATCTAACAGCCTAAGATTCAAAATGTGTACATTTTTTCCTTACACAAAAAGCAACTGTCTACTATGAAGAATGAATTGCTTCAGGAAAAAAAGTGAATTAATATAAATTATTTAAACTCATTTATTATCTCCAAAATTGCTTCCTGCACATTTGGCTCCATTAAAGAATGAATTAAAATATTTGCATAATTTCCAAAGCAGACAGGTTGTACCTTCAAGTTGAGAATACCTTCAAATTTCAAAATAATGTAATTCCTTTAAAAATGAAATAAGTAATATTCTTTAATGTACTCATTTATTCGATTTCTCTTGCTATCAGTTCTGTTACACTGACATTAACACCTTTATTTTCCCCAAAAATGATACCCAACAGACTACCATAATTAAACCCAATATGCTAGAAAATGTTAAGCAGCGATAAAACAAATGTTCCCAATGGGATATGCCAGCATCCCTTAAATTCATCATTTAAAATTATACATTTCTAAGAACTACTGCATTAGCAACACAAAGTATATTGTATGTTCAACAAGTTTTACTTATTGAAGTTTGGTATGCACAGACCTTGACTTTTCCTATTAAAATATCCAATTGGCAGGCATCGTAGGCATTCTTTATTAAATACAGTGAGGCAGCTGCTTTGATTTTTTTCCCATGCAAAGTCCTGTTACAGTATTATTAGTATGTTAACACATGTCACAGGTACACTGAAGACAGGAGGGAATGGGGCTTGGACTTCCACATAGCCTTCTGAATGGCTCAGCCAAGAACCTGCTCAACTATCCCAATATACAGAATTGTTCTTACATTTCTTTCTATAGTGATGAAGTTTTACAAACAGACTGGAATGGATTTCAACAATTCCCTCGTAGGAAGGGAGTCTGTCAAGATCAGACAAAATTGCTCAACCCAAATGATATGATAAATTCTGATGTCTTTCATTAAATTTCAAGCTTAACATTCTAAAGTTACTAAATCCAACAGTAAATGCACAAAAGACAAAACCACCAACAAGGGAAGCAGCAAAAGGGTTATAGAACAAACTCCTACACTTTAAAAAAAAAAAAATGTAAATAATTGGGGAGAAAGAACAATTTAGAGAAAACCCTGCACTCCTGACAGTATAAACATTGTCTATATACTGTAAGTTGTTTTGTCTAGCAATCAATAGACTTATATAATCAAGAAATGTCTAGAGATTAAATATATGCCATGCATATTGCTTAAGTATCATATACATTCAAAATAATAATAGGCGGCAAAAGGCATTTATATATAACTTTAAATTTCAATCTGCCAAATTATTCTAAGTGGTTAACTTGTATCTAAAAACTTGAAAGAGTAAGATTGGGCTAGTTGAGAGAGTCAATGTTGAAACACTAATTAAGGGATTAAAAAGAGTTCACTAAATTTTTCAGAATAATGCTCTTATAAGTTATTTTACACATGAAATCTACTAACATTTCAATGGTGACAGTCACTCACTCTCCTATAATTCTAACAGCCGCACTTTGTGGAAAATCAAGGAATGTCTATAAAATCATATTAAAACAGTAACCTTAAAAAAATAAGAACTTTTAATTTGTATACAAGCTCAGCAGGGGTCAGAAGGGGTGAGACTAACGTTCAAACATGCCAATGACCTGGAACATCTGAAGAACAAACACAGTGAAATGAAGGTTTAAGGGCACTTCAACAGAAGAAGTGAACTCACAGATATTTGCAACACAATTCCTGATGCAACTGTGGCGACTAAGTGGTCACAGTAGACAGCAAGCAAAAGCCAGAATGCCAGGAAGCAGGATCCTGGGATTCTTTAGACAAAACTGCAGCATGTATGAAGGAAGGCCCCTGTGACAATCAGCATAATCCTGTGTAGCCTGGACATTTCAACGGCTAAATGGCCACAAGGTGGCAAGTGGAGATTATACCAGACAAAACAGTATGAAAGGATAACCACTACAGTTGAAAAGCTGGAAAGGATAAGATAATGTCCCCAGATCCATTCCAGGGCCAATGAAAAGTAAAATCTTAGGGTTTCAAAAATTATTGCTAGAGTCTTCATTAATTTGTTTTAACTAAATATATTTAAGATTTATGAAATGGATAGTCCCACTAGAAAGAAAAAGAGTAAAAAATTAATTAATTTAATTATTTATCATTTACAGAAAAATTTCCAGTTGGTCATAAAGACCATATTTTAATTACTGCTTTTATCATTGAAGCGGAGAAATACCTCTATTCACAAAGATCAATAGCTTCAATAGTTTTGAAGGGACAGAAATAGAATCATAATGAGTACCAATAGCAGATACTGTTGGTGCCTATCACAATGTAAGGACCTTTGAAAGAAGAAACATTCACTTTTATTTAAAGGGGCATTTTCTTCTTTATGCCCAAAACCTCTCTGATTTGAAACCCTGATCAAAGACTCATAGAGTGACCTCAAATTCAACTAGCCCAAGCACTGATGCCAGGTAGGAATGATAGTCATATAGCACTACTAAACTCACCCCAATGCCAAAGAGCTAGTTAGACTAAGACTGTTGGAACATTCTAATGATTAAAAATATTTCTTAACACTGATTAATCTAGAATTCACCTCCTTACAGCTTCTATCCACTTTGTCTCATCTCTGCCCTCTGAAGGAAAAATCAATGAACTTTTTCTTCTAAACAACTTGGGACCTACTTATATCTCTGGGTATAGAAAATGTCAAGAGCCAACATAATCTATCATTAAATGCCAAATGGAAATGGTGCCTTGTCACCAATCCAATGAAACAAAAAATTTACTTAAATATACAATGCATCTCACTCTAGTCAGAATGGCAATTATCAAGGATACAAGCAACAATAAATGTTGGTGAGGATGTGGGGGAAAAAGTACACTCATATATTGCTGGTAGAACTTCAACTTGGTTGGAACCATATGGAAAGCGGTATGGAGATTCCTCAGAAAACTTGGAATGAACCACCACTTGACCCAGCTATCCCATTCCTTGGTTTATATCCAAAAGACTTAAAATCAAAATAAATAAATAAATATTACAAAAAAAAAAAAGACTTAAAATCAGCATACTAGAGTGACACAGCCATGTCAATGTTTAAAGCAGATCAACTCACAATAACCAACCTAGATGCCCTTCAACAGATAAATGGATAAAGAAAATGTAGTACATATCACAATGGAATATTACTCAGCCTTAACGAAGAAGAATGAAATGATGGCATTAAGCCGGGAGTGGTGATGCATGCCTGCAATCCCAGTGGCTGGGAGGCTGTGGCAGGAGTATCTTGAGTTCAAAGCCAGCCTGAGCAAAAGTGAGGCACTAAGCAATTCAGTGAGACTCTGTCTCTAAATAAAATGCAAAATAGGGCTGGGGATGTGGCTCAGTAGTTGAGTACCCCTGAGTTCAATCCCCAGTACCAAAAACAAAAAAAAAAGAAAAAGAAATGATGGCATTTGCTGGTAAATGGATGGCGCCAGAGAATATCATGCTAATCAAAATAAGCCAATCCCCCAAAACCAAAGGCAGAATGTTTTCTCTGATATGCAGATGCTAATTCACGATAAGGGGAGAGGATCTTGGGAAAAATAGAGGTACTTTGGATTAGGCAGAGGGTAGTGAGGGGAGGGGAGGGAAGGGAGCATTGGGGGTAGGCAGAATAGTAGAATGAATTGGACATTATTACTCTATGTGCATATATGACTACGTGACTGGTGTGATTCTACATCATGTACAATGAAAAAAATAAGAAGGTATAGTCCATTTATGTATGATGTGTCAGAATGCATTCTACTGTCATGTATAACTAATTAGAACAAATTTTAAAAATTTCCAATTCACCACTCAGAACAATGCCTCTCCATTAAAAAGGAGAAAAAAGGCAATTTTATGAGGTATTACATAAATTACAACGTCAGACACATCAGAAATTCAACGTCGTCATACATGCCTCTCAAAAGATTAAGCAATGTCACTTCATATAACACCCTGAATTACAAAATAACTCCAAAAATACAATATCAGCTGATGTCAAGAAATTGGTGCCAGCACAATATCTTAGGCATGAGAGAAAACAAATATAGCAGAACTAATGCTATTATAGTACTTACTTACAAATGCACTAGATAGAAAATAGAAAAAGAAAGAAAATAACAGGAAAATTTTAAATGGGACAGATGAATTTCTTTTGTATTTGATAATGTAGCTACAATTAAAATAGCCACTGTTAGATTAAGATTTCTTCATTTTATACCAGAAGAATATTTTTTATTGACTTGCAGCTTCTCACAAAAATCAGAGTATATTGCTGCCAAAACTCTCCTAAAGAATTTATAAACTTTTTCCAAAGTAAAATAATTAGTGAACATGTTTTTTACTACTAATTATAGTAAATAATGAGTTGATTTATTTCCTTTTCAGTCTGTACCTTAAGTAATTATGTAATTTATATTGATAGCACATATTGATATCTGCCACCATACTATCTAAAGAGGCAGTATTCTGACTTGACTTGTATTAATTATCTTCCATTGGAAAGACATCTTCATTGGTCAAGAATTTGCACCTTAAAGAAAACATCACCAAATTCCTGCTAGGGAAAGAGTCCTGTAACAGGGGAGAACAAGGAAGAAATTCATTATATGGGCTACTATCAGTGCTAAATGCATGAATAAATTTAATGGTTTTCAAATTTCCACACTTCTTTCATTTTATAGCACAGACCATAGACTCAGCCAATATTTTTGTTTATACTGTAATCAGTGCATTAAAAACCATAATTATTACAACAACTCATATTCATATAGCCTTTCAGGGTTTACAAAATGCCTCCATAAGCAATATCTAATTAAGTCCTCAAGAGCACCAAGTACTACTTTGCTATTCCCACTGGGAAAACTGAGTCCCAGAAAGTATAAGCCACTTTCTCCAATATCATGGCACGATTAACCAACAGAGAAGGACTCCCAATCTGAGACTCTTTCTGTGAAAATGAAGAGGTTCCCAAGACAAGCTCCCTTCTTCAAAAAAGAAATGGAACGAAACCCCAGACTCACAGATTCATGAACTGCTTTTCTACATTCTAGATGAAAGCTGGTCCTTAGCCACAACACATACAATATGGGCAAGGAATGGTGATGACTGAAAAATAAAACATGCTGTAGGTGGGAATGGTTTGGATGAAAACATTTAACATCTGCCGAAAATAAATACCTAATACACTGTCACACAGTTATAAAGCTGAAAGAGACCTTTAAGTCATCTGTTCCTTTTTCCATATCATAGATGAAGAAACCATGGTGATGCATAGGGAGCAGGGACTTCCTAAAGGTCACCTGTTGAACTGCTCTTCAATCGCAGAGCCAGGATTACAGCATTTTGCCTACTCCCTGACTTGATCCTATTTCTCAATTAAAGGATTAAGCACAGTCCAAATATTTATAAGGAACCATCACAGTGCTAGAGAGATTAGAAAATGAGATCTTATCATTGTAAGTGTAAAAATTATTGATTTTCATATATCATTTAAAGCTGCAAGAACTTTGCTTCCTATAAGAAAAATAATCAATGTTTAGATTTTAGGCTTTATCACTAAGGTTAAGGATAATTTCTAAAATATGACTTTTTCTTTCCTTTATATACACAAGCTTTAAAAATTTTGTTTTTATGATAGACTTAAGTACATTCAAAACCAGCATAGTCTCTCAACTTTTAACCAATAAGAGGAGTAAAACCCCAATAACTTGGAGTTTCATGATCTTTTATAGGTACAAGTCTCTTTAAAACACGAAGTAATTATCCCAACCAAGTTTATGCTCTCTGCCTGTCTTTTTCGGTCTTCAGAAGTTCATTAAATTATCTAATGCAATATTTATTTCTCCTCTGAGATTTAAATACTAGGCAACAAAATATCTCTAATCTTAACTGACAACAACAAATCTAAAAATGGTTCAACTTGTAAGTTATTTGCTAAACAATATTAATTTCCACATTAAAAAAATAAATAATCTAATTAGTCTTTATTGTACCTATGAGTCTCTAAAAAGACTCTTCACCCCCCAATTAAAACCTAATGTGAAATTCTTTTTGGAGACGCAAAGTATAAGAATTTTCTAGCTATTATTGAATGTTATTCCACAGGAAGAAAAATAAAAACATTTTTATGGAGACCAACAGTAAACTATTCAGATGATAGAAAATATTGACAGTAAAATAAATTTTCCATCTCTTATTCACAAGATCACTTTCTCACTTTAAAACAAGGTCTAATCTACAGCAGATGCCGATGCATCTGCTTGGGGGGAATTCCATCATCTGGGTCCTGATCATTCCGAGGAGGGTTTTTTCCAGAGGTGAAGAGCTGCCTGAATTCTGAAATGTAGTCTGGACTCCAAGGAGTAATCTTTGTAGTTGTTTCTGAAGATAACAATAAAATTATACAGTCAAAATTTTTTTGTATTCCAAAGGATACAAATTCTTTGTATCTCACTCCCCAGTATGCTATTTACTTTCAAACTTTAATATGCGAAACCCTGCATCACAGCAAAATGCAGATTCTGTCTGGAGGTAGGGTTGGGGATAGCAAGTCTGTTTTTGCAGAAGCTTCCTGGTGGTGATTTAAAGTCATATTTTCAGTAGCAAAATTCTACTTAATTACCAAACCATTCACAAACCCAGCAAGAAGGTTTTGAGGAGGACCTAACAAATTTGGTGAACTATTCCTAAATAGTTTGACTTCCTTTTTTTAATTTGGAAAATGTGAAGGTAGGCTCATATAAACATGGTAAACATCATCAACCACTAGAAAGAAAGACCTGCAAAAAAGACAGCAGTATTCCTTAGTACTACCAAAATTACTTATTCTAATTCTAATGAGCAAATATCAATGATTTGTCCAATAATTAAATAATAATCAGGGGGCTGGGGATGTGGCTCAAGCGGTAGTGCGCTCGCCTGGCATGCGTGCAGCCCAGGTTCGATCCTCAGCACCACATACAAACAAAGATGTGTCCGCCAAAAACTAAAAAATAAATATTAAAAAATTCTCTCTCTCAAAAAAAAACAATTTTTTAAAAAATAAATAATAATCAGACCAATGTCAGAAGGGCCATCAAAATGCAAAGATTACTTTAAAACTTGACTGAGATCATTCTTGTTAACCTCCCTTTGCTACAACTGTTAAGAAACAACAAAATGGAATAACTTCAACTTTAGTCTCCTACTTTTATACGTTGCCTTATTTCTATAGCACTTATTTCTATAGCTTTTCACTTCATACACATCTAAGGGCTGCTTGGTGGTAACTTTGCTAAGGGTTAATAAAATGTATTATTTATAAACTAAAATCAACATCTTAACAGAGTGTATCAAAGGATGTACCTGACTATATTCCTAAATGTCTGGCCACCACTTTTGGCAACTTTGCAAAGCTCCTACTACATAAAGGAAACTGAAATTAATTGAAAGTCTTAAAATTACTAGGGAACATGTTATCATCAGTACTGTATGACATTAGTGGTAGCTTTTGGTTGCTTTTTAGAGGTGAGGTGTAGTCTGGACTCCTGGACTTTCTTGTCTTCCACTGTCATCATTATAAAATTGTTTTACTATACACTACATAGTAGTAAATATATCCAAACAATAAATATTTGAAACAACAGTTTTTGGGTCTAATCATACTATCAACAATGGGGGACGGGTTTCGGGGATGGGGGAGAAAGGCAGTACTAGGGATGAAACCCATGGCCTCATGCCACATCTGAGCAACATTTCCAGCTCAACAGATTAAAAGTGACTTGTTTTCACATAAACCTTTTTTTTTTTTTTTCTTTTTTAAACAGAAGTCCTTGTTGGCTACCCTATGTCCTGGTCTTTGCCCTATCACTGTGCTCTAAATATTTTTAGAAAATGCTTGCAAACATTGAAAATCCTTGCCTCCAATAGCTAACTGTTTCTTTCTCTTTTTTTAATATTTATTTTTTAGTTGTAGTTGGACACAATATCTTTATTTTATTTATTTATTTTTATGTGGTGCTGAGGAACAAACCCAGGGCCTTGCATGTGCTAGGTGAGTGCTCTACCACTGAGCTCCAGCCCCAGCCCGACTCTGTTTCATTTTCACCTCACTTGTCAAGGTCACTAATGATCATGCTGCCAAGTTCGACAGGCCTTCTTTGGTCTTATGTTGCTGACCTCTCAGCAGCTACTCTCATGAATTGAATATTCTTATTTTTTTTTTTTTCAAGCAATTGGGTTTCCTAGATGTCTTTCTAACTCATATTAAAATCTTAATCTTCTTAATTTTATTGGTTCATCTCTAAAATGAAGGCATATCCCAGGCACCACAACAGACTTCCATCCTTGCTCTGCAACTTTCCCAAAATGAACTTATCAAGTACGATGGCTTTAAATATTGCCATCTTGTGTTGGTGACTTTGGAATCTCTACATTTAGCTCTGATTACCAGAAAACCCATGCTTACATATCTGACTACCAACTCAATATCTCTACCTGGGAAATTCAACAGCCATCTCCAAGTATTATGGTCCCAAAAGAAGTATGTTTCTTTCCCCAAACCTGTTGTTCTAACTATTCCCCATCTCAGTAAAACCATCACTGATGACCTAGTTTAACTCCCCTGTAGCTTCTGCCAAAAATGCTTCCTGCCCAGTCTTCTGGTGATTTCATGTGACTGATTTTCTCAAAACTTGCTCTAATTATACAAATGTCAATTACAGTATCACCTCCTCAAGGAAATCTTCCAGAAACAATAAAATCTAAAATAATATCTGAGTAAACTTCAGGAAAAAAAATATCATTAGTATTTTTCTCACTTGATTGTTTAATCTAATATCTCCCTCCAGCTAAGGAAGTAGAAACATTGCCTATATAGTTTGTAGCTAGGTCTCTCTAGCACTTTTACCAGTATCTGGTACTTAGTAGGTATTCAGTCAATATTTGCTGAATTTAAAGAAATTAATGAACCAACAAACCCCAGGCTATTTGTGACCTACAGCTGTTATGGCATTCCTTCTCCATTGCACAAAATGCTCAAGACAAACAGACTATAAGGTTTTGCCTTAAATAAGAGGACCATGATCATAAGTTTAAGAGTCATTGTCTAGCTCAAATGATAAAAAGAAAAAAATACTTCAGAACTACTATGGTGGAGATCAAAGAACTTCATGTGATTAGTTGCTCATCAAGGAAATGATAGTTATGACTTAAATGACCTTATCTATTGGTCATCAAATTACGACCCAAGATTCAAATCTGAACACATCCATTTATTTACATATCATATTCTATGACTATTTTAAATATAACTGAGTAGTTTCAATGAAGACCTTACACAATAGAGCCAAAAATACTATTTGGCCACTTACATAAAAATCTTCCAATTTCTGATTTAGAGAACAGTAATTTAGCAATCGCTGAGACAGATACCTACAATCACATCTATAAGAAGCAACAGGGTGAGGCATGAGGAACAGCACAATTATAGCAAAAGCATGAACATAATGCATAAGCCAGCAAAAGCAATATTATTGCTAATTTGCAGAAGTAATATTATTACTAATTCTTCATGACTTTATTAATCTTTAAGTGTCTGAGGCCACTGCTGCTGATTTTAGTTGTAATGGTGTTGACATTCCTAACTCCACAGCAATCAAAGAAGAGCTACCTTCATCACTTACCTTGCAGTTTCTAGGAATTTTATGGCCTTGTCAATTTCCCCTTGGCTTTTATATAAAAATGCCAACTCAAACAGAGTGAATGGCACTAAGTAGTGGTCATACTTCAGCCGCTTTTCACTGAAAGAGCAAATGGAATCAATTAAGTCTTAACAGAACAAAAGCATATCATTTTAAGACTTATTCCTCATTCCTCAAAAAATAGGTGAAGCATCAAGCCTATTATCCGAAAAAAAGCTGTACTAAATAGTTATGGAACTTTAAATAAACTATGACAATAAATTGTATGCTCTTGATACATTATTTATTCCATACTGTAAATCCAGAACTGATAATTTTTTCCCCAAGATCAATGATTTATTTCTGATGATGGTTTACAGTTTTTTATAGATGAATGCACACAGACCTATAAAGATGAACCCCAGAAATGACAAGATCTTCCTTTCAAACATGAAAGTGTTCATCTCTTATCCCATTTAGAGATAAGAAAGCTGCATTATTATCTTTTTTTAAAAACTATGATTCAATTCCTTTTGTATTTTAAAGTCTTGTAAGACTTTAGAATGTCAATAAAGAAGTGGTCAACAGTCTGTTTTCATAATTGTGAAAATTATCATTACAAAACATCCAGAAGCTTTGGGGAAAATATGAGTAATACCCTTTCCAATGCATAGCTTACCTCAAAGGAACATAATAAAATATCTCAGATTCCAAAAATAGAACTAGAACTGAAAAAGTAGGACTCTAGGTATGTGGGACGATGCTGAATGAATCCTGGATTTTGCTTCCATCCAAACCATCCAGGTTCTTAATGTGCATGCAAGAGATGAGGTCTTGGGCCCACAGAAAGCAGGTAGGGAGAACTTAAACTTCCATTTAAAGTTTTGGATCCTAGAAGAGCACTCCTCTAGAGAAAGGGCGTATTGGAAGAAACGCACTTACCAACATAGGAGCAAGAAAATGACTCCATTTAGAGTCAAGAAAGCTCTTTTATTATTAATTTTTTTGTTCATAGGAGCAAGACCTTTACTTTTGATGGGAAGAAAAAAAGATACCTTCGTTGGGAGAGTAATGAACTTGCAATTCAAATTTAAATTGCCCAAATAATCCAAGAGCCTATAAGCAATGAAATTAATAAAAGTGGCTTTGGGATAGAAAAGCCTTTAGGGCACCTGGCAGAAATAAAAGCAAAATCACTTCAGAGAAACTCTTCCTTATTATAGCACCATAAGAATTTGAAGATAAAGCCCAACTGAAGGTAAATTCACAATCCAAAATAATAAAATATATAAGCAAACAATTCACTATGAGATTCAATAAACAGCACAAATGGTCATCATTCTGATCATCCTTTTTGATCCTTATAAAAGCACCAATAAAACAGAACTCCATGCATAGTTCTTTAACATGTTTACTAAATACTGTATATTACTTATTTGGGAAATAAATATTGTCTCTTTCTTCTTATACAGACACCAGTCCTCTTACATTCTCATAAATATTATCAGGAGGAAGGGAATCAGATGTCCATGGATTGAAAGGTACATGATTGAAAGGCACAGGATGTCACCTGGTAGTCTACAGCAGTGATCTTTTTGGTCTGCACTGTGATCTTTTGGGTCAAAAATTTGAGACAACATTTAAAAATTGGGATATTTTGGATAAAATCAAGCTTCTATGCTTTTCATTTAAAAAAAAAATGGTACGGACTATTGTTACTCGGACCACATTACGCACAGCAATAATCAATTACATCTAAGGAGTGGTTAGAACACACAACCTTTCTAATCTACACTGCTCACCAATCTCTTCCTATATCATTTAGCCTGTCTCATTTAGTATGAATACTAGTCTGATCCCTAGAGTTACTTGCATTTTAATACAGAGAAGAGGGCCAGGCATCGACCCTTGATTGAATTCTATGATTAGTAGGAATAGGACCTCATCATCATTGCCATTGAAAAAAATTATATGCAAATAAATGCCCTTTATAAAAAAAAAAAAAAAAAAAACAGTTATGATACTTGTCACATATCTTTCTTCCCTGCCAGATTATAAGAATGATGGCAAGTCTATTTACTCAGCTCTCAGTGCCTAGGACTCAGCACAGTCTCTGGCACATGCTGGGTTCTCAAATATCTACAAAATAAATAAATGGACAAAAAAAAAGAGTATCAGAGACTCAGTATATTGCAGTCAGAGTTTGGATAGAAATCTGTTAGTCAGGCCATAAATTTAGTTTTTGTGGGTAATCTTTTAAACACCCTGTAGAAATGCTTAAGGCCATATTTCATTTAGACCACAGTTTTATTCGTGAGGAACAAAGAAAACTCTGCTGGATTCTCTCCTTGGTTAACACTAAGTAAATGTTAAGGGACATGAAATTAAAGTATTTTGCATTTTTCTCACAGCAGTTCCCCAGAAAACATGACATGCACTCAGGTTGGTTTTATTGTTTGTTCTTACCTTTCCACAACATGATTGAAACACAGTTCGGCTTGCATGGGCCGCTGCAGGTTCTTGAGGCAGCATCCTTTAAGTAACTGCACTAAGCACTCGTCATCTACAGAGTAGTCGCTAAAGTCTTAAAACAAACAAGAATCACAAACAAAAGAAGAACTGCTTTTTTTTTTTTTTGGTGGTGGTGGTGGTGGTGCTGAGGATCGAAACTTGAGCCTCATATATGCTAAGCAAGTGTTCTATCACTGAGCTACACCTCCAGCCCCAAAATACTTTTTAAATTAAGAGGAAACCAAAAAGTTATTAGGTTTCAGACAGATCATTCAAAAATTTAAAAAAAAAAAAAAAATGCTTTTAGCGTTTGTTGTGCCTCACTAAATACCACCATGAAAATATTTTAAATCAAGAGAACATTGAATTTACAACATTGGTACACCATTTTATTTAGGGGTTCACTCTATCCACTTAAAATTTTGCTTCAGGTGGTCACACTCTAAATTTTGTGACTTTAGTTACAACCACAGGAAATGTAAACTCTAAATAAAGAGCTTTATTAATTCTGTAAAAGGTAAAACCAGGAGAAACAAGAAAGCTGTTGTTTTGGCTTCTAACTGTGTTGGCTTCGATGCAGGAGAGGATAGCACTTCCATATGGAGAAGCAGATGGCCTTGCACCCATTAAAAATTCAGGAAGTAGAACACCCTCTCCAGATCATTATGTTTACAACTTATCAATTCTCCCAGGTTATGTTCTTTTGGGGGGAAATTATGTTGTAAAATTAGACAAAACTGTTCTGAATTACATGAAAGACACCAAAAATCCCCACAAACTTCTGAATGCTTGAAGATAATACATAGGATTTTCTTTCACCGCTTTTTTCTTTTTGCAAATGACTGCTTCTACAGCTAAAGTCAAATGCATATTAAACAGAATGAAACTATACTGTGTGTGACATCATTTGACAAGGTAGCCCACTCCAGATTTACCACTTTTGAAGGTTTCTTTTGTTTTGTTTTTTGTTTGTAAGTGATATGTAACTAAGAAGTCACTCCAAGACAGACTGCTAATTTACACATTTCAGACTGTGACAACAGAGGGGAGGGGTAGGAAAGAGAAATAATGAGGCCCTGGGAGTCCCTCATATTGAAATTATGCTTTCAGTACAAACCTCAGAAATCACCAGTGACACATGTTGGTGCTTTAGTTGGTAAACTCCATGTCTATGGGAGGTTAAGAATGCCATTTAGCCAACTAGAAGGTGATCACTTTGTTTCTAGGTGCTGAAAACAGCTGAGATTCACCTCTAACTTTCAAGTGCTGATAGGTCATTCATTAAGAAAACCACCAATACCAACACCACACATTACCTTTCCTATTATTTACTTAGGACAATTTTTTCCTATTAAAAAAAAAAAATCTATCCAGGCTTCTAATCATGGATGTTTGTTGAAATATATATATATTCAAAAAGCAATGGGAAAATTAATAAAAAGTAGTCAGACTGTTTGAACAAAGTTTGTTCAAAAGCCCAAATGGCTTTTATGGAAGTATATCTCATGAAATCTCTCTTTTTTTTTTTTTCTTTTTGAAGTTGTAGATGGACAGAATGCCTTTATTTGTTTATTTTTATGTGGTGCTAAGGACCGAACCCAGTGCCTCACACAGGCTAGGCAAGTGCTGTGCCACTGAGCTACAGCCTCAGTTCCTGAAATCTCATTTTTTTAAAGGTGAACTTTCATATATTTCATTTGAATTTCAAAATGATACAAGGTTATGCTAATTTCTACCTCAAAAGAAGTAAAAATTTCTTTCTGAAATTATTTCACATTAAAAATAATAAATATTGGGGCTGGGGTTATAGCTTAGTGGTTGAGCACTTGCCTCGCATATGTGAAGCACTGGGTTTGATCCTCAGCACCTCAGATATTAAAAAAAAAAGTAAAGATCACCTTACACCCATTAGAATGGCTACTACTAAGAAAAGAAAAAGTAGAAAACATGAAGTGTTGGTGAGGATAAGGAGAAACTGGAATCTTTATGTGCCACTGATAGGAATATAAGATGACACAGCCACGAAAGAAAACGCTACACTGGTGCTATGGTTTGAATGTCCTCTACAACCCACAGTGAATTTAATAGTCACTGTGATGGTATTGGGAGGTGGGAACTTTAAGAGGGTCAGTCAGTCTGTCTGTCAGTCTCTCTCACTCTCTCTCCATGTGATGCCCTCTGCCATGATATGGTACAACATGAAGCCCCTCACCAGATGGCAGAAACTTGATATTGAACTTCCTAGCCTGCAGAACTATGAAAAAAAAATTTTTTTTCTTTGTGAACCACCCAATTTGGTATTCTTTTATAGCAGCAGAAAACAGACTAAAATAGGCAGTTCCTCACAAAATTAAAGGTAGAAATGCTAATTGCTAATTTAAGGCTAATTCCTGCCTTAAAAAGGAAGGAAATTGGGCTGGGGTTGTGACTCAGTGATAGAGCACTTACCTACCATGTGTTGAGGCACTGGGTTTAATTCCCAGCACCACATTACAAAAGGAAGGAAATATGGCACATGCCACAACATGAACGAACATTAAAATATTACACAAATTAAATAATGCAGTCACAAAAAGACAACTACTTATATGATACCATTTTATATGTGGTATCGAGAGTGGTCAAACTCAGTAACAGAAGGAAGAATGGTTGCTGCCTTGGGATAGAAAAAACGGAGGAATAAGCAGTTGGTCTTTTATAGGTATGGAAAAGTTCTAGAGGTTGTTCGCACAATGATATGAATATACTTTAATCTCCTGAAATGTATACTTAAAAAGAACTAAGATTTTATTTTATATGTTTTTACTCACAATTAAAAATAGAGTTTTTAAAAAGATAATTGTTAAAAAAAAAAGTTAGGACTCTAGAAAAACATATAAAGTCTGAAAAGTGCATGCAGCAAGTCTATAGTCAGCACTTTATAAATATTCAAAGTACAAACTTTGAATTCCTCTTTTGTCCCCAGTTCTGAAGTCCTCTCATCTGCTTATTTCCCTGGTACTTAGAAATCCAGAAATCCAAAAGGAATTCCTTTTGATGAACACCTCAGCACTTTGGCTATCCTACTTAAGCTCCAGCTCAAGAAGGGATTAAAGTGTTTTAACTTTTTTGTGAAAGAGGGCAAGAAGAAGCAAGAGAAAGGAACCCTTTGTTTCTTTTCTAAATTTGCTGTCTTTAACATGGTGAAAGCAGTGTAAAACTCCTCATCAACAGACGAGCTCTACATGTGACTGCGGTGGGATAGGATATTCCATGCCCCAGTCTCCCCAAGACCATGGGTCTATATTTCCAAGATGGCTTTTGGTATGGGGAAGGTGGCCGGGAGGTCTTGTGGCCCCAGAACATCATTCTTCTCTTTGTTCTGACTCTATAGCTACCTTATCTGAAACTTTGACCTTCTTAGTAGATAAGTCATTTCATTCAACTCTCATTCTTTTTTATTTCTTCTATTGATGGAAATATAAAGCTAGAATTATTATAAATGGGGAAAGCAGTCTAAATGTCCCAATGAACCCCATTTACCAACACTTAAAACATTTATTATTTATTAAATTAAAAGATAAAAAAACTCCAGACTAGAATACATCTAGATACCTATGTTTGTAACTCTAAAAATAAGGTCAAGATGGAATACCAAAAATTCTAAATTAATTGTACAATCATAGCAAAAATATAGGTGACTTTTTCCACCTATACCTAAGAAGTTTAATTATGTGTTTAAAAGAATAATTGTAAAGAGAAATCTCATTAAAAAGTTCAGCCTCGGGCTGGGGATGTGGCTCAGGCAGTAGCGTGCTCGCCTGGCATGTGTGCGGCCCGGGTTCAATCCTCAGCACCACATACAAAACAAAGATGTTGTGTCCGCCAAATACTAAAAAATAAATATTAAAATTGTCTCTCTCTCTCCCTCTCTCTCACTCTCTCTTTAAAAAAAAAAAAAAAAAGTTCAGACTCATAACAAAGATGCAAGTACAAAAAAAAAAAAAAGTCCTCATCTCTGCAGCCCTCTTCAATAACTCAATCCTCACTGTGGGGAGCTTACTGAATATGAGCCAGGGCTCCTTGAGTGTCCATCTTTTTCCTGCTAAGAGAAATGAACAGGGTGTGGCGGCACACACCTATCATCACAGCTCCTCAGAAGGCTAAGGCAGGATTGCAAACTTGAGACCAGCCTGGACAACTTACTGAGACCCTGTCTCAAGATAAAAAAAAAATAAACAGGGCTGAGGAAGTAATTCAATCCCGGAGGAAGGGAGGGAGGGAGGGAAGAGTTAACTGTTACAGCCCTTCCCACAAACACATAATTCCTTAATTTCTATGCCCATTAAGCAGGTTTATCACCAGGAAAATTTCCATTTTACTTCTGTGGTTATAACATTCCAAAAGATAAGACCATAATTTTGGGATAATACCTAAGTGGTCTTGCATTGATAAGGAACACAATAGAGGCTATCACTGATGGCACTGTCTAACAAAACATAAATCCTCTATTTAAAAAAACAGAATTATGGGCTGGGGATGTGGCTCAAGCGGTAGTGCACTCGCCTGGCATGTGCGGGGCGCTGGGTTCGATCCTCAGCACCACATACAAAATAAAATAAAAGATATTATGTCCACCGAAAACTAAAAAATAAATATTAAAAAATTCTTTTAAAAAAACAGAATTATAAATGTCAGAGCAAGAAAACTCTGGGCATCATTGGCCCAACAGTGCTCTCATTTCAAAAGAAATAGGTGTTTTTCCAGAGTCTGAGGGCTGCAGAGCTGGGGCCACAGACACCATATCTGATGCCCCTGTCATTCTGCCAGCTGCCTCTGGCAAACCTTAGTAAACCACTAACATCACCAAAGGTAATGAGTGAAAAATCAAATGGTGATAAGATCCGAACGTGAAAACAACGATTCCTCAAGTCTCCAGAAACACGCCAACCTGGAGAGCAATCAGGAGGCCTGGAAAGAGTCCCAGCTAAACCAGAAGGAAGAGCCCACATTCTTTGTGCTGCTTTTACATTGGAATGCCTGTCTTTCTCCCTTCATTTTTTTTTAACAGTTTTCTGATACAATTTACATGCTATACATCTTGTTCATGTGAAGTATATAATTCAATCGTTTTTAGTACATTTATATAATTGGGCAACTATCACAATTTTAGAACATTTTCACCCCCCTCCTCAATAAAATGCCGTACACTTTAGCTATCACACCCCACCCCAATTCCTCCATCCCTATCAACTATTAATCTGCTTTCAGTCTTAAACACTGGCCTCTGCTGGGCATGTCATATAAATGAAATCACATAAAAAATGGCCTTTTGTGATTGGCTTCTTTCATTCAGCCCAGTGTTTCCAAGGTTCCTCCTTGTTGCAACATGTCATTCCTCCCTTCATCTTAATTAAAACCACCCTGCAGCAAAAGCTGCTGTCCTCAAGCTGCACACAAATTGACGTGGACAAAGATGCAAGGGAAAAGGCAGGAGAACGGAAATGGAGCACAGAGAAAGATGACTACAGGTTTACTCTTCACACTTACTTTGATTTTGTAAAGCTGCCTCAGCCATTTCAACGGTTACCAAGAGATTTTCAGAAATGTCTTTTCTTTTACCCACTATTGAAAAACCATTCCAGACATACATCATTTCCTAATGAGGAAGAATGAAAATCATTCCCAATTATGTGAGGTTATTCAACATCCCTCATGATCTCAAAAGTACATGCATGTATTTTGCCATGGTTGCTAGGGATCACAAGACAGTATTTAGGGATCATTTTCTTTAGCTTTCTTCATTTGGAATTTAGTGATATAATTTCCCCTTGTTTTATGACACATCTTTTGCCTTTGTACTGGGAAGTAATTCAGTATATATACATTATGATTTTACTGAAAAAATAACTTCTTTGTTCAATAAATATTAAGTAACCATAAGTATTCATTTTTTTAGAATATAAATATAAGTAAATAAAACATTTTTAAATGACACTATGAACAGTTCTGTTTAATATAATTTTTATTGTTACTTTAAAGGGAAATATTTTAAAATGTCTGCCAATTGCTTACATAAACTGTTTCCAAGCCTATCACTGAAAATAAACATTGAAATATTTCACTGGGCTCAGGTTCTTTTATACCATTAAAAATATGTGTTGGTCCAGTAGTGCAATCCAATATGCAAAAGGCACTCATTTAAGCCATATGGCTAAATGACAGCTCCTGAAAATGTAAATTAATGATTTCTCATTGCCTATTATATTCAATTGGCTAACAGATGAGAATTTTTTTTTTAGACCAAAAGCAAATTGCTTTTGCTTGAAAATATTTTACCAGTGTTCCTGATAGTACAGTTCATATTTTGAAGGGTATACAATAAGCAAAGTAATTAGTATCTTTTTTGAAATAAATAAAATTTAAAATATGATAGATATTACTTGAAAAGCCTCTTATCAGGGAAGCAACAGAAATGTAGAAGCCTCATTCAGGCAGAATGGTGGTGAGTTTATTTAATGACACTGAATGCTAAGATCACAGCACTCTGCCTTTCATTTTACATATTTTCTTACTGCTAACAGAGTAAGAGCTCAATTCAATAACTGAGAATATTTTTAAATTGATGATGATTTAAAAAATTTTTATTGATGGAATATTTTATCAGAAGGAGGCAGGCTCAGCTCAGACATGATTACAGTCACAGAAGGAAACTGTCTGATGTTGGTGTTCTCTGGAACTGTTTTAAGTTTGGAACACTTGGGCCTTAGTGGTAGTTGCAAGCCAACTCCTACCTGATACCTGCAAGGGGTTGTAGAGATTCTGTAAGTCAATAACAGAACAAGAAACAACCCAATGAAAAGTTAAGGAAGGATGTAAACAACAATTTACAAAAGAAGAAATAAAAATGAATGAACCCACACACACCAGTTTCAATCCTCAGTACTAAAAATTAAATAAGTAAAATGTTCTTAATGGTACAGCAGCCTGAGTTCAATCCCCAGTAATGCCAAAAAAAACTGCACGAACCCATAAAAACATGCTGAATGGCACCAAAAAGGAAATGCAAATCAAAAGAATAAAATATTGTTGGTAGTAATTTAAATTGGTACAGCTTTTTTTGGAGGGAAATATGGAAATATTTACCAAAATATTAAATGTGTATACCCTTCAACCAGGAATTCCATCTCTAGAAATCATTCTGAGGGAAGTACATATACATGTACAAAAAAAAGGATATTTGCTGTCATGTGTTGTATGTAGTAAAAACCAGAAAAACCTATAGAATAGTTAAAGGGAAATGGCTGAATAAAATCTAGAATAAAAAGGCAAATAGATTCAGGAACCTCCACGAGAGGGCTACAGATATCGACTTGCACTGAACAGCTTTCCTGTGTTGACTACCTTTGCAAAAACTAAACCCTCAAAAGAGTCATGGTAACTCAATATATTCAAATATATCTTTAAAGGAAGGTTTCATTAATTAAATTGAAATTGTGTTTTTCGCAGAGGTCTTACCTAAAAGGCATAATAATTAGGAGTATGAGCTGGAGCAGGACTAAACAGTCACCACCCACTTGGCACTCTTGAGCACTGTAAGGATGGCTATTTCAAACTAACGTGTCATCTAAGTATGAAAGACACACTGACTTCCAAGAACTAGTAAAATATCTTCTGAACAAGTTTTTTCCATTACATGTTGAAATGGCAAAAGTTGGCATATACTGGGTTAAACAAAATACATTCTTAAAATTAATTTCAGGCTTCTTTTTACGTTTTAAATAAGCTATTAGAAAAGGTCTGATTAGATTAGTGGCTCACATTCTATTTCAATTCAGTTTCAATGAAGTCAACTTTCCCTTCTCTCTGCCTAAACTTTCTTATCTATAAAATGGGGCTAACAAGACCACATTCATAGGTATTGTAAAAATTAAATTGATATGGTTCTCTAAAAAAAAATAGCCTTTATCATAATGCCTGGAGTATATCAACTAGTCAAAAAAAATCAGCTATAATTTTTATTATTTGTTAATAAATCACTTAGGTTTACCTTACAAAACAAAATGGTTTTTAAAACAGCTATCTTCCCAACCAAAGTTAACATTCTCCCTGATGCTCTGAGTAAACTATTTCTAGTATGCAAATAATAAGTAAAATAAAAGCACAAACCAGGGCTGGCAGGACGAGCTTTACAGGGTCAGGCAAGGAGGGGGAGTAACGCCGAGCCTTCCTCACTGCAAACTTCTCAGTAGGGAGAGATTTACCAGCAATTCTCTGCTTCAAGCCATCCACCTGTCTGTGAAGATCCCCAACCCCAAAGAAAGGTCAGTAATTACATTATTTACACCTGTGGTTTTCACATTGCAGGGCACACAGCAGCAGCAGATGCTGGGAGCCTGTTTGAAATGCCAAATCTCAGGACCTTCCCTAGACCTACTAAATCAACAATTCCAGTGGTGGGACCAGCAATCAGGAGTCTGATGCACACTCAGCATGTACTCTGATGTACACTCAAGTGAGAATCACTGATTGACACATTTCTTCTAGTCAATTTAGCTAATAAACTACATATATCAAACACAGTCCAGTCAATGTAAACATAAAATTGACAATTCACATAAGAAAACAGGAAATAGTACAAGGTATTTCCTTACAGTGTGGATACCCACAGAGAGGGAACGGAGCACTGAACAGCTTTCCTGTGTTGTTACTGTTCCTATTTGCAAGACTAACACAGATCTATAAAATAATGTGGCACAAGATAGCCACCAATTAAGGCAGACTTTGAGAAAATGTTTCCCAAGCATAGGTGATTTTGGAAATAATCAGTTTAAGATATACACCATATTTATAAACTTCCTCTCAAAATTCTAAAAACTTTCAATTATGAAATTCACAAGCAAATAAAAATGAAAGTAGGGTGCGAAGATTACATGTTCCTGAGGGCATTTTCTTATGCATAATTTTAAGAATATATCAAACAAGTTGTTGAGAAAAGAATTCAAGGAAATATCCAATTACATCACTGAAAGAGTAAGATGAAATAGGAAGGGGGAAATCCAGTATAATTGCACTAGCAAAGCCCCAGTTTAAATTAAAAAAAAAAAAAAAAAGTTTTAAGACATAAATAAAACAATATGTTCTCAAAATTCCCTGTCACACAAGCATATATGCAAAATCCTATCAGAAGAATGGTATTTTGACTCTTGTGTAAATAAATTGTTTAGGGGTTCCCATCTAATAAATATGAAAGTGAATCATGAGGGAGCTCTAAGGAAAAAAGGCAAAAGATGTTCTAGTGTACTGGTTTATATATTCAGGGTCTTTGTTAAAGAATTAGTGTCTTGCCTACCTGAATAAAGTTACCACATTCTCATTGGTTGCCACCACATCTTCCTCAGGAAGCATACTCAAAATTGCAGCTTTCAAAAATACATATGTTGCCTTGAGGAGAAGAAAAGAGCTTGCTATAGTAACATCTTGAGGTACAAGAACTTTCTACCTAGAAAATCAGAAATGAACTACAAATCTTCCAGATATAATATTAAAAGGCATCAAAGAAACCAAAGGAAATAGAAGTTTTAAGTTGTCATTTCCAATCAAGAAAAACACTGACCAATTAATTTAGAGCATTTTCCTATTATATAACTATATCACTCATAGGTGAGAAAGTGGGCAAAATGAATGAAAGCTCACTGTCTCACTCCTCCCAACTTCTCACAAATGAATCCGAATTTATTTTAATTATTATGAAAAGCCTGGTCATCAGGGAACTGGAAAATCTACAAAAAAGTTATCAAGATTACAGTATTGATATGTAATAACTTTAAATATAATTGCAGTTCTTCTTAAAGAGTAAAATCTCTGTTAGAACTCTTTGGATGGCTTTTAAAGCGCATAATACTGACGATAGTGCTAAGTACTAGGTACTTAAGGCACATTCCCTCAATGTCAAACTGCTGAACAAACAATCCTAAGTAAAATTCATCCTGACATTTATAAGCAAATGAAAGCACTACACTTACCTTGGACCATTTACTCTCTTTGCAAAGCAGATCTGAATAGTAATACGCCTGCATCCAGTTTTGTTGGAATACATAAATCCACATTAGCTCCCAGTAACAGAGATGGTGAAACTGTTTCCATTCTTCTTGAACTGAAATGCATTTTCGAAATATCTCTTGTGCCTATAAGTCAATTGCATAAAGCTGATCATCCAGATATTAGACAAGGAGATAATAACCTAATGGAAAAATACATAAAACACTTTGTACAAAAAGAACAAAATTATCACTTATTAAACCACTCAATATGATAAATATGATTCTCTGCTTACATGCAATAATACAGTTAAGTTCTGTCTTTTCATGTAACTTTGTGAGGGACCCTGGCATTTTATAATGTGGGAGTGGGGAAGCACCTTTCCAGATATATAATACCTAAGTCCTTTAAAAAGAAGACTGACAATAATAAAGGTAGAAATTCCAATGGACAAAACACACTATAAACACAGTCCCAGGCACTAGAAGACTGGGAGAAGACATGCCTGCTCACACCTGGCAAAAGGTTAACTAACCCCTTATCAGACATAAATTTTGTAAGATTCTTTAAGATTAGACTCAAAGGGAAAATGATGAAGATTGAAACAAGCAAACCAGAGAAAAAGATATACAAATTACATATATATAAAGAAATTTGTAAACTGGGCAATATAAACATAAAAATCAGATCTGTTATTTATCAATGATCACATTGGCAAAAATTCAGAAGATGGAAAATGTCTAGACTTGACAAAGAGCACTGGAAACAAGCATTCTCATATCTTTACGAGAGTTCACATTGTAAGAACCTTTTAAAAAGGAGGATGTTTTGGCTAGATAGATCAAAATGTAAACATATTCCAATCTAGCCATTCTAATGATCAGAATCTGGCTTAGGTCAATATACTTGTGCACAGAAATGAACATACAATGCTGCTGTCAACAGCATTATTTGTAGTGGACAAATATCTACCAACAGTAGACTTTAGTATAGTATATTCATCCCATAAAATGAAACCAAGCCATCAGAAAGAGTGAAGGAAATTTATATATACTGACCTGGAGAAAGATCCAAGATGTATTGTAAACAAGGAAAAAAAAAAATCACAGAAAAATATACATGTTTGATCTCATTTGTGTGTGTATGCACATAAAAGGCTCCTCGCTCTTACATCTTCAGGGAACTTGTGAATAAGATTCTTTGATGAAGAGCCCATACACAATACAATGGAACTGCATCTTATATAGGTCCTACATTCCAAAGGTAATGTATACAATGCAGTAATTGATAACAATCAAAAATTTTTGAAAATGCCTCAGAGGGCTGAGGATGTGGCTCAAGCGGTAGCTCTTGGCATGAGGGCGGCCCGGGTTCAATCCTCAGCACCACATACAAACAAAGATGTTGTGTCCGCCAATAACTAAAAAATAAATATTAAAATTCTCTGTCTCTCTCTCTCTCTGTTTCTCTCTTAAAAAAAAAAAAGAAAGAGAAAAAGAAAATGCCTCAGACTACTCACCTGTTATTTTGTATATTCTACTCTGAACTGTCTCATGCATTTTATGTGTAAGGTTGCTCTCAGTAACCTACTATATATAATAGGATATATACACAAGTTAAAATGTTGGCCTTTTAATTAAAATGTCTTTTTCTTTGTTTTTAGCTAGTCCACATAGTTGGATTTACTTATGTAGAATGGCTGTGTGATGCAACTCTACCACACAGATAGCTCCCCCAAACAACTCCCAGCAAAAAAGTTACCTCTTCAATATTCCCTTTCAGCAACTCGATTCGGGCATGATAAAACAACATGAGTGAGCCCTGTACAGAAAGGAAGAAAACACACTGTTCAACGGTCAACGCTGACTGATTGATTATGGTTGAAATATACAATTGAAATACCAAACATACGTTTGGAAACTGCTGGAGGAAGGGTGCAAGGAGACTCTCTGCTTCCCCAACATTCACTTCTCCTGTACCTAGAAATTCAACAGGAAAAACCTCAGTCTTCATGAAACATGGCAGGTGTTTATAACTCTCTCTCCATATTTCACTAACATGTAGTAAAGACATATTCATGGAAAAATGAAAATGATTACTTTCTCATTTTTCACATCTGAGAAATAAAGACAAGTGTCATCTATGACTATTTTAGACAGCCCTGGGTCAGATGAATTCTTGAGAATAGAGGCAGCTTTCTAAAATTCCTAATTTCCTAATTGGAATTTCTGCTTTCAATAGCAATATTAATTTATTTTAGTCAAAAAATTAACCTAACACAAAATAAATCTAAAAATGATTAAATAGATTACTTTAATGCAGAAATTTTAGTTAAGAAAAAGAAAAATCTTCAATGAAAGAAAGGAGCCCACTCCCTGTCAAATGTCACTATGACAACGTCACTATTTTCCATCTTTACTCAAAAAAAAGCAAACAGGCAGAAAGTACTAACTGATTTTTCTACATTTTTACTTATTCAGATTAAAGATAACCAACTTTCAATGAAGCATAATATAATCTACACCTTACCAAGTATGAGGGAGATATAAGTGTGGAAAGCCAGGATGGTTAGGCAGCACAGTGAAGACCTCATGCTTCTTCCCGATGCACCTTCCCGAAGCTGCAGGAGGCCCAACTCCTATGTGAATCAATCATAATTAAAAGATTATAAATGAAAACTATCACATGTTAATTAATTTATTTCTGCCCTCCATGAAGGTGGGGTATTTTAGAAGTTTAAAATAGTGGTAAAGCTCAACTAGAAACAAACTTCATATTTTGACTGGCATAACACAATCTCACCAATTCTTTTGTATTATGTGATTTTAGCAAGATAATAAGGCAGTGCTCACTTCATAAACATGCTATATTTCTCTAATAAAAATATATACTTATTAAAACATACTGAGGATTCAAGTGCAAAGCACTCTGGTGAGTATGTCTGCAAAGACCCTGCCATCAACTGAGGAAGACAGCACATGAACACCTGAACGAATGAATGATTCTGAAAGTTAGGAATGCTTGAGCCTGTTGGGGGACTAATGGAAAGCTTTGTGGAATGGGTGGCATTTATTTCAAATCCAGTTAATGGAGAGACTCTCCATTATTGGGAGGAAGCTCATTGTGGAAGATGTCTGAAAACGGAGACAAGCAGAAGCACAAAACCAGGAAAGCTCAGGGCCTGTTTAAGGAACAACTAACGGTTCAGTTCAGCATGAGTATTGAGATTATGGGGACCTTTAAGCCATGTTAGAGTCTGGACTTTATTCAAGAGGTGAACTTGGGGCTGAGGAAGTAGTTCAGTGGTAGAGCACTTGCCAGACTTGCATAAGACCCTGGAGTCAGTTCCAGTATCATAGGGAAGGAGGGGGAGAAGGTAACTGGGAGCTACTGAAGGAATAAGGTGGAAGATGAATGGTTAAGGAGTAGGATAAAAATGTACCGAGTCAAAATATATATATATATATATATATATATATATATAAACAAAACCTATCATAAAGAGATCACCACAAATACATAATAGCCTAGGAAGAATATGGACAGTGGAATAAACGTTTTTTCTTTCATTTATTCATTACATGTCTCAAAACCTGCTCTTTGACTAAAAGAAACAGTTTTTGCAAATAGACAACTCTTTTAATAGCATACTGAGTGTTATGATTAATAAATGCTATATACTTGCTACGAAACAACCACCACACAGAAACTGAATGAATAAAACTCACGGAAAGCAAATTTTCTCACTTAGTTCCACAGTGAAACTAGTAAAAAATATGGAAATCCAAAATATTGCCACTATATTTAATCCATGCTATTAATCTGTCAGAATTATAAACTATTAGATATGGAAATCTATCCCAATTTCTTTGTTTTACAGAAGATAACTCTGGGGTTAGTAAAATAATAAGGAAGTAGTTTAACCACATAGAAGTTATAAAGATCCAGCAAGCAGCAATATCAGTAAAACATAATTTTTAAACCCAGAATCTAGGTAAGAAAGATGAGATTTTAAACTTTCAACAGAAAATCCACGCTTAATTCCTGAAAGACATGATCAAGACCAATGGTTCTTTATTGTCCTACAAACAAATTTCCAATCATTTTCATGCTATTTGGAAGGACAAGTTACAATATTCTCATAGTTAATAAATAATGCCAAAATTAATATAAAATTAAATTTGTACCCTGTTTCCAGAAAATCCAATAAATTCTAATAATCGGATAATCCTTGCTGGTAAAAGAGACAGCATCTGTAAGGGGGAAAAGAAAAACATACATATATATATTTTTGTGTATGCGTGTGTGTGTTAGTATATCTAACTATACACAAACAGTAACTACCAACAACTTGTAAATTTTTAATGTTTCAGTAATATGAAAAATTAGAAACAAGTTTAAACACTAGATATGTCTCAATCACCACATACTATAATAATTATGAATTTCATTTACTAAAGTAAAGAACCTTAAAAAAATCCTTTTTTGAAGGAGAAAACAAAGTCTGTCCCTTCAGTGGTTCTCTAAAGAACACTGGCTTATAGCTTCTTCTATATGGAGTGATAAAATGATAGCAATTTTATTCCTTAGCACCCTTTCTAGACAAGATTTCTTCTTAAGTTTCTTTCCTAGAAAGAGAAATCTTTAGTATTCTGGGCAATATACAGACCCTACTTGGAAGTGAACAGCTACAGTACTACGGCTCCTTTTTGGTTCATCCCTGAAGTAAGGGAGGAAGGGAAATTCTCCCTGTGAGTAGTGAGAATCTGGTAAACAGAGCCAGGGCAGTGCATCTGGAAAACAATTTGCTTGAAAGCAGAAATAGTCATATGTGTCTATGTACTAATTCATGGCCTATGGTCAATGGTTTGGCTCAGGGGCTTGGAAGGAACGTGATTGGAAAATTGATGGCAAAAATGTCTGGGGCAGAGATGGTGGACAGGCTTCTCCAAATAGGCAGAAAATATGAAGATATATGGGTCCCCTATGAATGCTGCAGATTTTAATAACCAGTGGGTACACGGACATGAACAGGCCTCTTTTTCTGGCTACTAGTCATAGCACAATAGGTTCATAAAAAATGTCCCTGGTGGTCCATACACTCATAGATATGATTCTCTTTATCACGTTCTCATGAATTCCAATAAAATCTTCATAATATTTCAAAATCTCTAAATAATATATTGGAGACTCTCCATTTCCCTAGAGATCATCAAAAATTATTTATCAAGCTATATCACTCCCTTTTATATTTTCAATCCCAGAGCCATCATTGATTATTACAGCAACAATATTTCTGATGTGGAAATGGAACTAGATTCTAAGCTTCTTGTTACTAAAAGTCTTACTAGTCCACTAAGAGTGCTGCATGCTTCTCTTACACTGTACAATCCAAAGCCTCCCTGAACACATGTATAGCTTTACTACACACAGTAGCCAAAGTCCGGCTGGGTAAAAAAACAAACAAACAAAAATGGACCCACTTTAGCCACTTATCCCCTAAACCCAAGTGTGAGTTAAGAATAAGGTCCAAGTGCAATCAAGAAGGTAATGAAAACCTTAGGTTTTCTACAAAAAACTGGTTTCTACAGAATTATTACCTTACCAAGTTAAAGGCCCCTGTTCCAAGCTTGACACCTCCTTCAAACTCATAGAAGAATTCTTGCTCGAGTTTATTCTTCTGAATTACATGCAGGATAGAAAGACATTCTCTGGATTGAAGAAAAAAGATTATAACATAAGTTTTCCATAACTTAAAATAAATGTTAAATCAAATTTTACACTTGCACACTATAAATGTCATTAGACAAAATACCACAGAATGTTTAAATGGATAATGCTATGCTAAATTTTCTCTTAAGGCCATCTGGGAAGAATTATTAAGGAAAAAGAAAACACCCATTTTTATCAGGACCAATCTTTTTGGGAGTAAAGGAAGCTCAATCATCAGCAAGTTTACATAGTCAAAAGAAAAAGCAGTCAATAGAAACTAACTCTACGATGACACAGATGTTGAGATAATGTCCAATCTGAAAAAATTTTTCTTTTTTAAAAAAATACCTCAGTAGCCTATTGAACAAAATCAGGCAGACTAATATGTAATTTAGGAGTTCCAGAAGGAAAGGACAGAGTAATGGGGAGGGGGGGAAATTTTTTTAAATAAATAAATATATATCTGAAGGAATAATGACCATAGATCTCTCAGAATCATACTTTGGCATACCATAGTCAAAGTGATGAGACTCAAAACACAAAATAGTCTTCAAAGAGCCAGATGAAATGACACATTAAATAAGAAGAATGATAGTACAAATGACAACTAACTTCGGATCACCAACAACAAAGACCTTAATACAATGGATAGCAGTTTCAGAAGGCTGAAAAAAGAAATAAACGAACCTGTTGATTCAGTATAGTAAATACTTAGCAAAAGTATCCTTGAAAATGAAGGAAAAAAGAAAGACAATTCAAATAAATGAAAATTTTTTGAAAGCAGACATACACAAGAAATGCTAAAGTCCTTCAGTCTGAAAATAAACAGAAATGAATGAATTATACTAAAAATGGTGATTTTTTGAGTAAAGAGAGAAGACAACACCAAACTATTTAAGGCTGCCGTGGTACTGCCAGGGGGGGCTTCTAACATACATAACTGTACTATATATCATAAGAATATTGCAAGAGAAGTGCAAATTAAAACTACACTGAGATTTCATCTCATTCCAGTCAGAATTGCAAATATCAAGAATACAAGTAACAACAAATGTTGACGAAGATGTGGGAGAAAAGGTAAACTCATATTGCTTGTGGGACTGCAAATTATGGAAAAACACTATGGAAAGCAGTACGGAGATTCCTTAGAAAACACGAATGGAACCACCATTTGACCCAGTTATCCCATTCCTTGGTATATATCCAAAAACTTAAAATCAGAATACTATATTGACATGGCCACATCAATGTCAGGTCAATTCCCAATAGCTAAGCTGTGGTAACAACCTAGATGCCCTTCAACAGACGATGGATTTAAAAAATGTGGTACATACACAAAACAGAATATTACCCAGCCAACAAGAAGAATGAAATGATGGCATTTGCCAGTAAATGGATGTTAAGTAAAATAAGCCAATCCCACAAAACCAAAGGCTGAATGTTTTCTCTGATATGTGGATGCTAACTCACATGGGCAGGGTGGGAGAGGGAGTATCTCCAAATCAGGCGGGGAAGGGAGAGGGGACAGGAATGGGAAAGACAGTACAATGAGTTGGAATTAACTTTCCTATCTTCTTATATGAATACACAACCAGCATAACTCCACATCACATTCAAACACGAAAATGGGAAGTTATACTCTATGTATGTATGATATGTCAAAATACATTCTACTGCCATGCATAACTAAAAAGAACAAATAAATAATTTTTAAAAAAGAACATTACAAAGGATAGCAAGTGGGAAATGAAACTGTACTTCTACAAAGTTCTACTTTATATGCAATGATACAATATTAACTCTAAATTGACTGTGATAAGGTTAAAAGGAGATTAAAATCACTATAGCAACTTCTGAAACAAATCTGAGATGTAACTAAGAAGACAAGGCTTACATGGAATTTAATTTTTTTGTTCAAGCAAAATCAGACAGGAAAATGGGGGGTAAATAGATGAGACAAAAGAAGGCAAAATGGCAGTCACAATATCAATCATCCAATTATGTGCATTTACAAGAAATGCAACTTAAACATATAAACAAGGGTAGATTTAAAGTAAAATATATATATATATATATATATATATATATATATATATATATATATCGTACAAAGACTTATAAAAAAAGCATGATTGGCTATATTAATATTATAAAAATACATTTTAAGACAAGGAATACTACGAGAGCTAAATTGGGACATTTTATAATGAAAAAAAAAGGTAATTCATTCGGGAAACAGAACAATTATAAATATACATGAGCCTACCAGAGGTCCTAAATATCTACAGCAAATACTGATAGAACTAAAGGGAGAAATGGATGACTCCACATTCCAAGTTGGAAACTTCAACACTCTCATGAGCTGGTAGAAAAACTAGATAAAAATCACTAAGTATACAGAAGACATGAACAACTCTATGAGCCACCTAAATTGAACATTTTTATCCACTGCAATTCTAGGGGGCAGAGTTGCTCTAGAGTCTGGACCAAAGACATACCTGTTATTTGAAATGTATAAGTTATCCTTAGGAGTGAGAAACTAGGATTATCTGAGCAGAAATCATAACAGTCACTTTCTTTCCTGCTGTTTTGCTCTTAAATTTTTATTTAAACTTAAATTCTATTGCCTTATGGCACTGAAAACATACTCAACCAAAAATCAAGTGCATTTTTACCAATACTAAAAATTTTTTTAACTTATCACATTAAGTTTATGAGAATTTTGAAAAACAAAGTAATGTAAGCACAAAAATCATTTAAAAGTCATGTTTTGCTTTTTAAACTTACTTATATATTTGGTAACTTGTTCTAATTTTGAGTCCACCTTTGATGAAGTTGATCATATTTTCATCCTGAAAATAAGTCAATTAAATAAATATATCACTTAGCAAAAAATTTTAAATTGTTCCAACACTTGCATATTTGTGCAACTAGGGGGAAAAATACTATCTTTTTGAGGACACAGTATTGAAATTAACACATGCTTCTTGCTTAACATTTGGAATGTACCTTTTTGTAATTTTTCTTACAAGTTAGAAAACAATGAAAGTATTTTTTAAATCCTTGTATCACTTTATATTTCTAAGGAACAAATCCTCACTAATTAAGGGCCAAATGTAGTCCAAACTTACTTTAATAAATATCATCATTTACTGATCAATGTTCTTTTGGTTTCATTCAAATTCAAAATAATCGATTTAAAGTATTTGTTCTAAGGCCAAATTTTCTCATTCATCATATCCAGTAAATGGAACTATGTTTCCTCTTTCACAGGGTACTTGAGCTGGCAGAGCCTGTTTAACATTGTGAATTTCATTCATACACATTTCTAGACCAAAATAACTGGTCTGGATTCTGAAGTGGCTATCACTAATGTGCAATTTTGTTTTGAGGAGATGGAGGGTAGCATCACTTTGTTTTTTTTTTTTGTTTTTTTTTTTTTTTTTTTTTTTTGCCTGATGATCATTGACCATACAATTGAGGCAATTAGCCTAGATAAATGGCATTTTCAAGGTCAGCATTCTAAGACAGTCTCTTAATAAATTATATTAAATAACCACTGGAAGAAGGTTATTTTAATAGATGGTACTAATAGAGACAGTGCCATGCTTCACATTTCCAGGGAGGAAGTTTTCTAATCTATTGTTATCAGAAAAAAGCTCTGATATTTACTTCTTGTATATCTTAAGCATCCTTCTGAAGCAAAAGATAAACTCAGTTCACTAATTTCATTCGCTACTGAAATATTTAATATTCCAAATGTCATATAAGAATCAGTAGATACAAAATTCACTATGCAATTTAAATGTTTATCACATTATTTTAAGGAATCCTATAATTATATAAGTTCTAACACTAGTCAGGAAAGAATTTCCTGGGTTAGATTAAAATCTGACATAAGAGTATTTCATTTCACAGTTCATCAAATATTTACTGAATGTCTGTGTTACACCAGGCACCTGAATGCAAAAACAGAGATGAAGGCATGCACAGCTTCTCATGAAAGCACAAAATGGAGATATGTGGAAGGCCAGAAAAATACTCTTGAAGTATCAGTGCTTAAAGTTTAAAAAAAAAAAAAAAATTGGAAGTGGCCAGGTGAAAAAAAGGCAAAGCAAATGTGAACTTTCAAACAAAGGAAAACTGAAAGAGAAAAGCCAAGAAGCATTAAAAGTCATGATGTGTTCGGCTGGGGATGTGGCTCAAGCGGTAGCGCGCTCGCCTGGCATGCGTGCGGCCCAGGTTCAATCCTCAGCACCACATACAAACAAAGATGTTGTGTCCGCCGAAAACTAAAAAAGAAATATTAAAAAAATTCTCTCTCTCTCAAAAAAAAAAAAAAAAAAAAGTCATGATGTGCATGGCCACCTGTGCATACATACACCAGCACTGCTAAGGAAAGCAGTGGTCAAGGAGGAAGAAAGCTACCTCTCCCCTCATGCCACTCAAGTATGCAACATTCCTATCAGTAACACCTGAAGGCAGGGAGTCTGGAATTTGGGGAGAAACACCTTCCCAACTTGTGATATTCTGACAGAGGACACTGCCATGGTCAGTAAGAGTGACTAAATGCTGAAACAGAGAAAAGGCAAGGTCAGAGTCTTCATTGTTTAAAATATACTCAATGACAGAGTGAAGAATGAGTGGGAGATAAATGGAAATTAGAGATAGTCACTAGATTGCTGCACAGTCCAGGCAAGAGCTGATGAGCAACTCCACTGCAACAATGAGAGTCACAACAAAGTAGAGATGTAGCTAAGCAATCTTTAAAAGGCAAAAGCAGCATGAATATGAAAGTGATATGAGGCACAAGGAAGAGTGGAAAATTATGTACATTTTCTAGCTGTTAAATTTTAACTCCCCAAATATAAAATAAGTTTTCAAATCCCATATTCAAATGTCTAATCCCCATTGGAAAACACATCAGAAAAAAAACAGGGGCCTCTGTGGATAGCTTCATATTGTTTACTAAGATAGTAAAATTGTTGTTATTAGCCAGACTGTGTAATGTACAGGGTTTTAGAAAATACCACACTGATTCACTTTTACTAAACCAAAATCTAACCTAAGAGGTCAACTTCCAGAAAAAGAGAGAAGCAATTCTCAAAAAAATACAAAAGATTTTAGAGTGGAAGATTTATCATTTTATAGTTGAGTTTCTTTCTGTCTCTCCTTATACTCCTGACCCCACCCCTATAGCCTTCACTATCACCTTAGAGGCTACCATGTGCAAATATAATTTTTTGGAAGTACTGGAAAATACAGAGATAGGCAAAATACCAACTATAACGGTTCTTAGAGGTGAAATTAAAGTGCCTCATGAGAAAAAGATTCATTGTTTTATTTAGTAACTTTAAAACTTTCCTTTCAGAAGGAAGAACTAAAAGAAAGGGGTCTAAGAATAGAAAGTGGGGAAAAATAATATTTGAAGTATCCACAAAAAATGTGGTTATTGATATATGCAAGATGGAGCTTCACTGAAGCAAGAAGGAATAGCCAGGCTGGAGATGCAGTTCAGTGGTCCAGCAATCTCCTAGCACATGCAAAACCCTGAGAGAAGGGAAGGCAGGAAGGGCCATTAGGAATAAGGGGCCTTCCTCTGCCTGGGCCACTTTGGTGGGAGGCCCTCTATCATAAGAAAGTACAAAATGGAATAATCTCAGTTTTCACATGGAAAAGCAGTCTGAAATTAGGTGTGGCCTTTATAATAAAAGGCATTTCTTTATAAGGCAGTAAGTCCCATTAGACTGAAAAGCTCAAAATAGACTCTGAAGTACATTTGAGTAGATAAAAAGTTCTCTGGAGGTTTTTTTACAGCCAAAGTTTATCAGAATAACAAATATTTTTCATTAACCCTGTAAGACAAAATAACTGGAGCACTAACACTTGACTGAGTCACATTTTTTTATGCAGTATTAGCAGGCTTCTCAGCCAATACCAATTCTAAGACAGACATTCATTACCTGCACAAAGGTGAGTGCTGCTTTCTGTAGAAGACACTCAGCATAACAGATTTCAGCATGCATCTCCTCTATTAAAAAATAAATAAAAATATGTTAAGAAAAATCCCAAGTCCACAGTAATTGCCATAGATATTCAGAAAAGACTGATAAATAAATGATCCCAAAAGAGACATTAACACCTAGATTGCTTTTGTTCTTCCATAAAAGGGATACATAAACCCATTATTAGTGCTGATTCAGCAACATTCCTCTGGAATGTATGCAAAGTTCAGGGAAGTCATCATTGGCCCCATTCAAACACAACAGGAGTCCACATTTGATGTCCAAAACCCAAATTTGGCTCATAAGGAGAACCAATATTTAAGTCTTTAAAAAAAAAAAACAAAAAAACAAAAAAAAACACTTTTTTAACTTAACAGTAACACTAAAGTTTAACACAGTTGTAAAGTTTGAAAAAAACCTATATGAAACTTATAAACTCTAACTTCTAAAATATGAAGGTATGACAAACATGACAATGACTAGAAACATTATTAACCTGAAGTGAATGCATCAATTCTCCAGAGCTCTCTGAAAACGAACTCAGGTCAGGGTTCTGCACACAAATCAAACTTGATCTAAAGAGAGTCAGGACTATTCCAGTTTTAGGGTAACTTTATCATTAGATATCCAGCACAAAAACAAGATGCCTTGCAAAAGGGGGTTGTGGAGGCTATGTATGTCCCAGGGATATGTGGAATGCCCCCAAAACACATTCCTTATTTTCTTAAATAATCTATTATACTTGCAGAGATTAGGGAGACAAATCTTGCATGTTTGCTTAAACACAATCAGCAGATTCCTGCTTTCTCAGTGGATTGCAAATCAGTATGTTATTTAAGTACTTGAGTTTGGAGAAAAGGCTTTGCCATGTTCTAGCTATAGAACCTTGTGCAAGCTAGCCTTTCTTTCTCTATTGGTTGCCTCATTTATAAAATCCACTAATAATGTCTCTATTTCACAGGTGAAGGATTAAATGAGGCACTGCATGTAGAGTTCACTATACACAGTAAACACTTGATAAATGTTAGCTACTTACACTAAGATTACTGTCTTTGACCAATGTGCATTTTGGTAAAAACTTAGAAAGCAGAAAGCATTTTTATGACAAGTAAGTGATGGAAAAACAGGGTATATGTCTGTATAATTGTAAATGCTATTGATCAAAATAGATAAGAATGTGTCACCTTTCAATTACTTACACACACACACACACACACACACATACACACACACATAACCCATTGGCTCTTTCATATGAGTTCAACTTCTTGCTGTGCTCATATTCCAAATGTTCAATTTATGAAGAAGTATATAAGCATCTAAGATCCCCAACAGCACACAGACAGGTCCAAACCCACAACAAGCAGTATTTGGGGACCTATACCTGCCTGTGTGTATCCCAGCAGGATCAATAATCAGAGCTGCAGTTCTTTAGAACACCTTCCCTAAAAATGTGCCTCTTGATTTTTTCAGTGTTTCAATGGAATAAAAACTGATAACTTTTATTTTTAGAGTCACAAGAATATCCTCTTCCTAGGTAAGTCTATAACACAGTGAGAACTTTCAGGGGCTATTAACACTGTGCTAAGGATCAGATTGCTGGTGTGGGGCATGTGCAGAGGGGATCAGCAGGAAAAAAGGCATGGAGCAAGAAAAGCCCAGGCCACCTTTGGCTGTAGAACGTGGTGTACAGTCAAGGAAGAGAGAGCAATGAGGTTGGAAAGGTAAGTAGGAGTTAAACTATGGATGACCTTGACTGTCACAGTCTGCCCTGGATTCAGTAGATAACCATGAGTCCCTGAAAACATATGAAAAGAAGAGTGAATGGATTATGGTTAGGTTAACAATGGACAAATCAAAGAGCAACATAAAAGATGTAACAAGAAAGCAAAGTGAAAAAGGCATGAGAATTCCAATTCTATATTCCACATGTAAGTATTCTTCATATTATAGCTCACATCCTAGACATTGCATTTAAATATCTCTTTTTAAAGTCAATTTGAAACCCGTTCAGCACAATCCGCCAGCCATGAGAGAAGAGCAGGTGTGTTCCACATTAAGCCCATGAAAAGTTTAATGAAATATACTCATTCCTGCAGACAACCAGACACTCAACGATGTAAATGAAAATTACCAAGAGGGAAAACAAATCACATACTAAAACGACAATGTTTTGACATGCTCTCTTGAACACAAAGTCTGTCTGGGTTGTAGTGACAGCCAAGCTCACTGGGAAGAAAAAAGCAACTTAATTTATACAAGTCTTATTTCTTCCTTTACTGTGGATGATTTACATAGGGCAGTTCTCTGGTTCTCAAAATTAGTATTGGGCACTTATAAATAGGCACTAGTAGAATGCCACTGAATTATAAAACCCTTAGGCCACTGAAGGAAATAAATTCATGGTGCACTGAAATGTTAGCCAAGTACAGCTTTTAGGTATAAAGTCTATATTTCAGAATAGACTATAGCCACAGTCTATACAATTTTTATAATTAGCCAAAGTTTTCTACCTCATTCCAGACTTCCTGAAGTGCACTATCCAAAGAAATTATAAAAGGATAAGAACAGAGTAACATTTGTTTTTAAGATGTTTAACACAGGAGTGATCCCACATTTTCCTCACCCATTTTTTAGCTACCTACAGGAACAAGTATGTGTAATAGAGAGAGCTGGGCTACCAGGAAAGGCACATCAGCTTTAAACCCTGCTCTGAAAGGTGGGTGACCTAGACCACCTATCCAATCTCTCCAAACATTAGCTCCTAGTTTAATGAGGAGGTTACATGGAATAGATTGGTTAATGTTTGGCACATAGAAAGTATTTTTTAATGGTTATTATCATATCATTTTTTAAATTACTATTTATACTCACATCATGTCATTCTCCCTAAAACTAAGGTTAAAAAAATCTCCAATATCATTTTCATACTACAAAGAAAGAGGGAAGCAGGGGTCAGTAGAGAAGCCATATAGAGTGTAACAGAACAGGGAATACAAACAGAGTCCTCAGATTCCCTTGGATTGGCGGGGGGGGGGGGGGCCTATTTAATCTCCTATTAATCTTCGTTAGAGGACTGTAGAACTACTAGTGCAAATTTTTATTCTTATGGATACCTGGAGGTCAGTTTCTGGAAGAAAAAAGCAAGATGGGTTTCAGGGGTCTAGAGTTGCTAGGTAGCCAGTCAGCCATGAATGGGTGGGCAGAGCTAAGACAAGGAAGGGTACTTGTCACAAGTATCACAGCCACCAATCATCTTGGCAATCAAACATCAAGACCCTCACAAGAAAGCTTGCTGATGGCTATTCAAGGGTAATAACCAATTCAGGTGATAGGAAACAGAGGCAAAAACAGGGGGACTCTATTTCCTTAAAATCCCCAACTCTGAGCATCATGCCATCCTCCCATGGATACAGTCCATGTAGTCCTGTGCTGTCAGGAAAAAAAAAAAAAAAAATCCAAAGGTAGACCTGGGTGGGACTCTGGAAACTTTCAAGACCCCCTCTGCCACTAAAACTGGAGATCAGGAAGGGCCCAATATCTCTCTCTTCTCTGAAAGAACCCATCTCTCCCTTAATAGTATCCCCTTTTCGTCTTTCTTATCCCCTCTAAACTCATAACTATTATTCTGAATGACAAGTTTTAAATCTTTCTGGCCTAATTTCAAGAAAAGAGGGGGCCTCCGCACCGCCTCAGTTTCACAGTAGGCATCTGCCCTGTAACAGAATGACCAATGAAATGCCATTTTGTTTGGGAGGCAACATCACACCCTCTCAGAACAAGTCCTGAAGATGTGATATGCATCAATCCTCTCTGGTGATCAACACTTGAAACTCACATCACGCAAATGTTCCCAAGTTCTCCAATGTCCATAATGAGTTGATGACACTTGTCTAAAAAAATGAACACTTCACGATAAAACACACTCAATAATGTGTGTGACGTACACTTGACCATGAGAAATGCCTCTGACAGTTTTCAAAACTGCTCTTGCTTTTAATCAGCCACAAAGATTTCAAGTATTTTGTGTTACTTTCTCCAGAGAGCAAGTCTGACAATGACAACGCAGGAACAGATTCCTTTGAGATGACAGAAGGTTCTGAAGGACATATTTTTAATTCTGCAGGGTTACCTGCACACTCTTTTCTGGTAAGCCATCCTCACTAGGGTAAAACATCAATCAAACAACTGGAAACTTCTGCCCTGATCTCAGCAGGAACATCAAGTAACTGACAACAGGCGTCCTTTCTTCCCATGCATCTGCTCAGGATGCTGTAGGCATTCCTAGATTCCCGAACATTCCTAACTACCTGTCCACTAACAGAATACCTATGATACTGTGAAGTATTAACACTTTTTAAAAGTTATCAAAATTACTTTGACCTTGGAAAAAATTCTTAATAACAGAGAAAACTGAAACTCTCATAAGTGGATAGTAAGAATATAAGTGTCTTAAGTTTTTAGAGGAAAAAAATTGCAATGCCTGTAAATTTTTTAAAATTTCAAACCCTTAGAACTAGTATTATGATCTAGATATGAAATGTTTCCCAAAAGCTCATGTGTGAGACAATGCAAGAAAGTTAGAGGTGAAATGGTTGGGTTATGAGAGCCTTAAACTAATCAGTGTGTTGATCCACTGATAGGGATTAACTGGGTAGTAACTGAAGGCAGGTAGGGTGTGGCTAGAGGTGTGGGTGGGTCATTGGGGGCGTAGCCTTGGGGCTTATATTTTGTCTGTGGTGAGGGGAGCCTGGTACCAAGTTCCCAGCTGCTTTCCTCAGCTACACTTCTCTGCCATGATGTTCTGTCTCAAACTGAGGCCAGGAGGAATGGAGTAAACCATCTATGGACAGAGACCTCTGAAACTATGAGCCCCAAATAAACTTCTCCTCCTCTAATTGTTTTGTCAGTCTTTTGGTCATAGCAGTGAAAAAACTGACTAAAACAACTAGTAATCCCATTTGTAGGAATTTATCCTATGAAATATTTTTTAAATGTGTGAAGACACATGTACAAGGGTTTTAGAACATCATTATTTGCCACAATGAAAAACTAAAAATTATATGACTGTCCTTTAATAGAGAAAAAACAACTAAATTATGTATATCCATCATATGCAATACTACATAGGTGTAGAATGAAGCATATTTATATGACCTGGGAAAACATAACATCATAGAACGACATGAATTACATGATTCCATGTTTGCAAAAGGTGAACACCACATAAACAACCACCAAAACCCTATGGGTTTCTTATATGTTTGTACACAGAAAAGTCTGCAAGGCTTTAAATTCACCATTAGCAATGGTTACTTCAGGAGGGTAAGCACAATGGGGAAGATAAAAGATTCCATTTACTTTCTACACTTCAGTATTGAATTTTATGAACATGACTACCTTTTAATTTTTAAAAGAAAATAAAAATTAATCTTTGAAATCACTCATACCTTCACTCAGCTGTTCCAATGATCCTCGAGAAAGAAGACTTGAAAAAGATTCTACAACTGTGCATTTTTTCCTATATCTACATTGAGTAAATAGATAGGGAGATAGGAAATAGAAAGAAAAAATAAAAACAAATCAGGCTGTGTTCTTTTTCATTTGACATTCATTTCAGCAGTCACACCAAAAAGTCACCAAGCTGCAACTCTAAACCCTCACATCTGCAGGGAAGAGGCCACCCTTTTCCATCAACTGCACACCTAGCTCCTAGCACAGGGCTAGCAACCCACAGACAGTCACCCCATATTTACACCCCACATGTGGGACAAACCCACACACACTGAATACTAAACCTGCTAGGGGTCTTCCCTTATCTCTATGGCTATGTCACCAGTGGAGTTAAAGTGCACTATTTGAAAGTGCTCTTCATTTGAGGGGCTCACAACATAATATATAAAGATGTCAATTTACCCATGTTAAAATTTACTAACACTAATAATAGCTTTTACTATGTTATTCCTAAACATACAGAGGAAAGCTCAAAATATGATGAAAAAATCTACCTTATTTTGACCAATCCAAAGTACCCAACATAAGTTCTTCTTATATGAACAAAATAATCCTGTTGGAATTTGCAGCATCCCACATAAAACAAGCTCCTTGCTTGACTTGGCACAGCATACAGTACTCAAATCTCATCCACTTCAGGAGACACCTGAGAGATGCTGGCTATTAACCTCACTGAAATCTCCCTCACATCTTCTCTTTAGCTGAGGCCCTAAACTATCAAGAAGAAAAGTCTGGGAACCACACTATTCCTGGTAGGAATTGTTAAACTCTATTATATAAAATTGGATGAGGCCAAGAAGTTTTGAAGCTGAAATCCTTTTCTGTATCTGGCCAACCTTAACCAGAGTTCTCAGGCAAATAAGGCTCATTTTATCACACAGGATCAGGGTTTGGGGGTCAGATCTCAAGTATTTAACTCTTCAGTCATACTTTTGGCAGGTTTGTAAAGCGTCCTTCATGGCAGAAATGCCTTTTTGGATGTCCTGTTGCTCAAAGGTCATGACAGCCTGCAACACCACAATGGTACTGTAGCCCAAGGCATGGTACATACTCTCCTTAGCCCTAAAAAGAACACAGGGAATTAGTGCAATTCAATTAAATAAATAAAAAAAAAAATCTAGGCTTTTTTGATACTAATCACAAGAAATCCTACCAAAGCATGCCCTAACTTCCACAGTAATAACATCTAGTCTTTCACCATAATCACTGAAATGTTACAGCCTGTGAGAGGCGGATGCTTAAGAACTTTACTGTCAAGAATTTTCCAAATTAAACCCACACAGGCAGGACAAAATGTTCCAGGAGAAGAAGCTCAAGTGGACAACATGCCTTTCTCTGCTTCAGCACAAGGGGGCAGCCTGCTGATTCATTTCCCAGAGCAAACAACATTTTCTAGTTAAACAAGGTGCAATGTGCTGCCTTAAGATTTAAAATAAGTGCTAAAAATAAAGACTATTGGAAATGTATTTTGTGACAAAGAGATTTCATTTTGGGTGATGGGGGTTACACGGGATTGAACTCAGGGGCACTTGACCACGGAGCCATATCCCCAGCCCTAGTTTGTGTTTTATTTAGAGACAGGGTCTCACTGAGTTGCTTAGCACCTAGTTTTCGCTGGGGCTGGCTTTGAACTCTGTTCTCCTGTCTCAGCCTCCTGAGTCACTGGGATTACAGGCATGCGCCACCATGCCTGGCCTCAATGTTTTTTGAAAGAGGAAGATTCATTTAAAATCATTTCCTTTCCTCTACAGCCAGAGATCAAGAAGAAGCAAGATTTGGGGCAATTGGAGGGGACTGGGTCAGCCCCAAAAGGGCCTGACCAAAATAAATCTCAAATCCTGTATCTGATCTAATTGCATTATCTGAGATTCCTAATTAAAGTTCTTAATAATTTTAGTTATTAAGTTATCAATGGTTGCTTCAGGAATCTAAGAATGTTCATTAGTTCTACTGTGGAACAGACATCTCAATTTCCTGGATGTAAAAGCATTACCATCTCTTCTCAAAACTTATGACGTTAGTTATTTATGATATTAAAAATACCAACACATATCCAGGAGCAGTGTAGCACATCTGTAATCCCACTAGCGTGGGAAGCTGAGGCAGGAGGATTAAGAATTCAAAGCCAGGGCTGGGGATGTGACTCAAGCGGTAGCGCACTCGCCTGGCATGCGTGCGGCCCGGGTTCGATCCTCAGCACCACATACAAACAAAGATGTTGTGTCTGCCGAGAACTAAAAAAATAAAATAAATATTTAAAAAAAAAAAAAAAAGAATTCAAGGCCAGCCTTAGCAACTTAGCAAGGTCCCAAGAAACTTAGCAAGACCCTGTCTCAAAATAAAAAATAAAAAGGGCTGGGGATGTGCCCCAGTAGTTAAGCACCCCTGGTACCAAAAAAAAAAAAAAAAAAAAAAAAGCAATGCATATGCCTGGGGATGTGGCTCAGTGGTGAAGGGCTTGCTAAGATAGCAAGGCCCTGGGTTCATTCCCAGCATAGCCAAAACAACAACAAACCAATGCACAGTTCTGTTTTTAATTTAAATATTAAGGCTCAACAGCCTGCTGCTATATGAAACAAATACAAGCCACACTAATTTTTTTCCCTTCCCCCATGGAAATAAATAGTCTAAACAATTCTTTGGTAATTTGCAGTTTGTCCTAAACAGTGAGGCCACTGGCTGTTCAAAAGAACTACAAGGGGTCTGGGGTTATGGCTCAGCAGTAGAGCACTCGCCTTGCACATGCAAGACTCTGGGTTTGATCCTCAACACCACATAAAAATAAATGAACAAAATAAAGATATTTAGATACAACTAAAAAAACAAATATTAAAAAAAAAAGAACTACAAGGAATAAGAGCAGCCAGAAGTTATTCACTAACTGTGCCTTCAAACCTATTATTTTTCTAACTGAATGTTCTTCCAAGAAGGAAAAAAAAGGTTCAAGCGGGGGAGTATTTTTAACAATGACGCATGCATAAATATCACGGACTATAAAACTTGACTGGATACAAGATTATATTATAACCAGTTAGGTGTGAATGGAAGAAGGGGGAAAAAAAGACTTGTTTGAATAAAAAAATAAAAAATATAGGTAGGTAGGCTGAGAAAGGAGACAGAGGAGAAATAAAGAAGGAAAGACAAGAAGACTGCAAAAGGAGGTAGAGGGCCAGAACACAGAAAAAGAAGTCTAAAGCACCTAGAAGGGTGGAGGAGGGAAGAACATTGGCAAGGCAGAGGTTGAGACAAGAGCTGGAGGCAACCCTGACAATTTTCCTTAGCCTGTAGTCTCAACATTTATCTTATCATTTCTTCTTAACTTCTGAGATGCTAATTGGCGAATCATGATTTGAAAAATTAAGGGTACTGTTAATTAAAATTAAATTGCTCAACTTGGTTAATCACATATATAGGGAATCCCAGTAATATTATCTTGAAATTTAACATTGAGATTAGCATATTCTAGTTATTTGCCTCATTTCAAATGAATCTTTTTCTAATTATATTTAAAAGAAACATCCATGTAAATATTTCACTGAATAAAACAAAATTGAAGTCCTACAAAACTACATAACATGACAATATTTGAGCTAAATATGGAAATTAAAATATATGAAATAATCAGAAATTTTCTAATGATAAAATTTAAAAAGACATATTTCTTAACTAAATTTTAAAACTGACCTACAATAAGAGGTCTCAACCAAATAGGCTTATAAATATTTAGGTAGGAACACATAAATTAACCTATATGACATTAAAGAAATGGATAAAACAATGTTTCATCTAAAAATAAATTACCCTGGACGAAGCAATTCTAAGGCATCTGTAAATCTGTTACTTAGAAATAAATTCAATGCCACTGCACATTCTTCTAGGCCACTCTTGAGATCCACTTTGGTTGATGATGAACTAAAGATCAAGAAAAAAAATACAAAGAATTTTTATCAGTTTTATTATTAGCACACTTTCCCAGGGAATGCGTATGAACTTTGGAGACAGAAGGCAGACTGAAATTCTAACTCTACAACTGACTAGTGTAGGGGCAAAGGGAACACTCCCTCTGTCCTCTTGTAAATGATTTTTAGGGGAGATGAACCAAAGAACAGAGAATAGCCTGAGACAAAGTTCTTCTGGGTTCTGAGTATGGTGTCCTTCTTTTCTGCTAGTTAATCCTCCTTGACTAATGAGGTTATTGGGAATGGTGGATGCCATAGCAATTGCATTCTTTCTAGAAGAAGGAGGGACAGAGTGGGAGAAGGTTAGCGAGACCCTGGTTCTGAGTCTGCTACTTTCATTCAAAGCATCCAGCACATCAAATTGCCACACTTTGGAATACTGTTTTCTGAGTCCCAAAACTAACTTTGTCTGTTACATCCCTGAGTCTCAACTTTTTTATGTGTAAAATGGGAAACACCAACCTACTTGATAGGCTGCCTTGAGGATGATATTAATTGACAAATAATGATCAGAGTAGGCACACACACACACAAAAAAAAAAAAAAAAAAAAAAAAAAACCTGACAATTCACTTGGACCTACAAAAGTCCAATGAGTAACTAGAAGCAGGATTTAAAAAAACTTGGCATCTCTGCCTCCATTTTTGCATCTATCTCCTTTACTCTGAGTCTCTTTGGATTCCAGAAACAATAGATCTTATCAATAAACACAGTGTGATGAGTGGAAATTCCACCCCCCCCAACCAGGAAACAGTAGCTTTCTTACAGGTTCTGACAACCACCACCTACCCACCCGCCAATCCTATAGGGACCAACCAGAACACAGTTTGACCAAGACTGCTTGACCTTGCATACTTCTGACTCCACTTAACTATGTAATATAAAAGCTGGTGTCAGTTTTCCTGAAGACAGGGCTAAGGGCACTGGTCCTCTTCTCTTCCTGGTATGGCTATCCTAATTCCTGAGCTGGGAGTGGTGGCACACACCAATAATCCCAGCAATTTGGGAGTCTGAGACAGGAAGATTGTAAGTTCAAGATCACCCTCAGCAAATTAGCAAAGCCCTCAGCAATTTAGTTAAACCCTGTTTCAAAATAAAAAATAAAAAGGACTAGGAATGTAGCTCAGTGGTAAAATGCCCCTGGGTTAAATGCCTGCTCCTGCCTTCCCTTCCCTTCCTTCTTTTCTTTCTTTCAGTATTGGCAATCAGAGCTCCTAGGGGAGCTGCATCACTGAGCCCAGTCTTGTCTTTTTTTTTTTTTTTAAGACAAGGTCTCGCTAAATTGCTTAGGGCCTCACTAAATCACTGAGGCAAGCCTTGAATTTGCAATCTTCCTGCTTCAGCCTCCTAAACCACTGTGATTATAGGCATATACTGGTCCCAGCTCATGATTCCTTCTTGTTATTCACGTCTCACCTAATACACCACCAACAGAGAGTGGCTTGGCTGAGCCCACCCCATACTCCAGTTTTCCTTCTGTACCACTTAGTCCAGGATCTTGTGAATGTAGTATTTGTGGACATAAGATGCAAGTGCAAGGAGACTGTTTTAGTCATTTCTGCATCATCAGTGTCTTTGGTGGTACCTAGAACATGCTCAGTAAATATACTTGAGTGGATAGGTTCCTGTTCTGGGTAGAAATAAAAAAACCTCCTCATACTTAGAGCTTAAAGCACCTTCCTTCTGGGGCAAAGCAGAAAAGAGACCAGCCCTTGATGGAGGGGTAGCTGAAGAGCTAAGAATTGATGTGCCCTTAAGTTTCCAGAGAATGAGAAGATGAAATTACACTATGGTGTTCACAAGTCTCTCACAGCAAGATTTTTTAAAAGAAAGTTATTTGACTCTCTCATAGCAGTCCACCACCAAACCGTGTCAGTGTTACCTTCTGAATGTACCTTGGATTTATTCGCTTGCATCTCTATCACACAGTCCAAGTTAGCTCCTATGTTGCCTAGTGGCTGCAGAATTATTTTCTCCCCATCACCTACCCCTACTGCCCCATCAAATGTTTACCTAGAATTCATTCAATGAACACTTATGAAGTATGTGCCAGGTACTCAGCACTGGCAATACAGCAATGAACAAGACACAGTGAATCCTGGCTCTCTGGGAGAAAGGAAGGCAGACTTACATAAGCAGACCAATAACTAAGATCATCTCAAATTGGGATAAGGAGTTTGGGTTAGAACCTAGTTTAGAGAATGGTGTGTGTGTGTGTGTGTGTGTGTGTGTGAGAGAGAGAGAGAGAGAGAGAGAGAGTCACAGAAGGCTCTCCAAGAAGGCAACATCCAAATGCTGTACAATGGAATCAGCCATGGGAATATTTAAGTTAGAAACAGAGAAAGGATTCTAAACAGAAAATGTGGAGAGTAAGATCAAGAACAGGAGAAAATGAGTGCATAAAAGACAAAAGCCAGAAACAACAGAGGCAGCGAGAATGGATTTTATTCTAAGAACCAAAGAACATGCATTGCCTCAGAAATCTCTACTCCTTTTCTAATCAACCCTTCCCTTTAACTACTAGGCTTTCCAGTTTTACTTCTCCCTTATCTCTTCATCTTACTCATACCATTTCTCTATAAGGTTACAACTCATCCTTTATCCTTTGTCACAAGGAAATGGGCTCCCTGCCAAAAAAAACAACACCTCTGCATCTCAGCTGGCCTCTGTCATCTGGAAGGACACATTATACCTGTCCCGGCTTAGACAGATTAAAAACCAGATCACTACCTCCAAACACAGTAAACACAGCCCCTCTAAGTAGTGATTACGAGATTCACCTGGAATCAATACACCCTGCCCCTGCAAACACACACAACACTAGTGGTACCATGTGTTCACTAACCAGGACTCCTCTCAACATCTCTTAGGGACACATTTTCCTCTCCATATGTACTGCCATCACCTGAATTGAGATGCCTGTCACTTCATTACTGAATTCTGAATACCTGCCTGCTTTGATTTCATGGTCCTCAAAATTCATCATGCATTAGACTCACCTGGAGAATTTACTAAAATATACTACTGAGTCCTTCCCCCAAAATTTTTTTTGGTAGTGCTGGGGATTGCTTGCCTCATGTGCACAAGGCCCTGAGTTCAATCCCCAGCACCACCAAAAAAAAAAAAAAAAAAAAACTCTTAGGATTCCCATTCCTATGGGTCTTCCTTTCCTTATAAAGACTCTCATGTCATATTTAAAAAAAAAAAAATTTAAGTAAATCTGTAAGTTTTCTTCTTATCATGAGAAGGCAAATGGGTTCCTGAAAGGTGTGTTGCCCAGAAATGAGAAAATTGAGTGACAAGTTGCAATAGCTGTCCACTGCCGGCTATAGAACCAAGGATATGTACCTTTACATCAAGGGCACCCTGGGTATGTACCTTTACATTTTAATAAATGACAAACTGAAACTCCCCCACTGCCTGCCTCACAACCTTGTGTTGAGAAGCAAACAGGTATCTGTAGAGTGAAAAGTACCATGAGGTAAGGCAATGTTATTTTCTGTGCAGCCTAAATATATAAGTACCATATGTACATAATTGAAGTCTGAAGCCTCACACTACTTTGAAAGTGTCTTTTTAGCTGCTCCACAATGTGTTTATAAGTGCTTGCTTTTATTGGTGCATTAGAAGGCCTATTGATTAAAAGCCAGTGTGAGAATTTTCATTATTTGTGGGGTTGTTTTTTTTTTTTTTTGCAAACATTGATCCTACGATGGAAACACCTCAAAACTATTTCTTATATTTCACCTTCACTTCTTCCTTTACATCTATCTTTTAACTCTTTCTCTGACCACTTCCCAACTCAGAGACATGCACAGATTTACTTATTTAAAACAAATCCAGCAAGAAAGATAACTTTCCTTCAATCTTGGCTCTCTCCTACCACACAACTTCTCTGTGTAGTTAGGATCTTAAATGTCCCCCTAAGGCCCATGTGTTAAAGGACTGGTTCCCAGGGAGGTGCTGCTGGGAAGAGGTAGAGCCTAGTGAGAATCTGTAGGTAATTAAGGGTGCCTTTTAAGGGGATTGTGAGAATTTCAGCTCCTTCCTCACTCTCTTTTGCTGCCTGAACTTTTCTCTTTATAAGTTTATTATCGCAAGTATTTGTTTTAGCAACAGAAATCCTTTTCATAGGCAAAAGCTTCAAAAAAAAGTTGACATCTAGGATAGGGTTGTAGCTCAGAGGTAGAGCACTTGCCTAGCATGTATGAGGAACTGGGTTTGATTCTCAGCACCACATATAAATAAATAAAAAATAAAGGTCCATTAACAACTTAAAAAAAAAAAGTTGACATCTTCAGCTGCTACAGGCTGGCACTGTCCCGACTTTCTAAATTCCCTCCAAGATAAAGGTATCTGATAAACTGACTACAAAATGCAAAGGACACTTTTCAGCCTAAACCCATGCAGAATTCTCTGCTGACAAGATTCCAGAACTCACCCCTTCCACAAATTCCTTGCCTGTCCTATGGCAACTATCTCTGTAGCTCCTGCTTGAACTCTTCGTTCCCTCAGCAATCCTTTACTGTCTGTGTCTTATAGTTCCTTCCTCCACCCAGTCCTTTCTTTTTTGTTTTGCTTTCTCTTAATAGCATTTGTAGTTCATGACTTCAACACTATATACAAGCTAAAAGATTCCCAGTCTACAGATCCAGCACAGTGCTTTCTGTGCAAAGTCCAACTCTTATCCATTACTGCCTTAAGTAATTTTTATTTATTTTACTACAGCTTTCAAACTCAGTGTTATCATTGGTGATACAGTACTTACCTAGGAAACTATCAAAAAGATTGGAAGAAAACTATGAGAGAGAAAATTTTATTTCTGGGGAAAAAACAAACAGATTTCCATGGGGACATATAGAATAAAAAAGTAATGTGGGAGGCTGGGGATATAGCTCAGTTGGTAGAGTGCTTGCCTCACACACACAAGTTCCTGGGTTTGATCCACTGCACCACACACAAAAAAAAGTAATGTGGGGAGTCTGGGGTTGTGGCTCAGTGGTAGCACACTCGCCTTGCACGTGTGAGGCATTGTGTTCAATCCTTAGCACCATCTACAACTAAAAAAAAAAAATTTTTTTAAGTAATGTTGGAAATGAATGCCTTAAAGACATTTATTATTCTCAACTTTTTTCCCACTCTTCAACGCCTTCCACATATTAAGAGAAATTGCTGCCCAAGCACAGTGGTGTCCACCTATAATATCAGCTACTTGGGAGGCTGAGGCAGAAGGATCAATACCTAGTGAGAATTTATCTCAAAATAGAATAAAATAAACTTCTGGTAATGTTATAATTATATCAAGAAGCATATGGCTAGGAAAAGACTGGAATGAAATATAGCAAAGTCTGATAGTCTATTATAGTGGCTGCAATTATAGTTGATGTTTCTCATTTCCTCCACCTTTCCCAATTTTGGCAATGTGGTTATATTATTTTATAATAGAAAATAATCATTAAAATTTTGAAAGATTAAAAAAAAAACTCAAAAGGAAGTTGTGCCCCCAGAAGTTGAATTTAGCTTTTTGGCTTTTCTATAACACTGAGTTATTCAACAGTTACATATCCTCTTCTCTAATTTGTAAAATGGCACTGTAATTACCTAAGACCCTCCCAACCTCACTGGTTTGTTGAACACAAGGCACCTCGGGAATATCAGAATTATACTATCTAAAGGTTAGACTATTTCTTCCCTGATCCCCCAAGAATGCCCACACACTCTTCTAACCTGCTCGAACTTGATGTTCCAAGCTGTCTGGATGCCCGTTTGGTATCATATGATGCAAAGTGAAAGCTACTTGTTGCCATATCTGGTTGAGGAGACCTGTGAATTTAAAAAGGCAGAGTGAGTTTTTTATTTTTTTGTCCTGTGAGAAAAGTCTATAAGAATTCAAGTTCACAATGTAAGCCTTTCAATTATTTTGTACATATCACTTCCATTCTCATCACTTTCTGAAAATCTAGTAACACAAATCTACTGCCATGCATTGAATATTCCTGAAATATGGCCCCAACAGACTGATCTTATTTTTCAATTTATTCTAATGCACAAAAGATAAATTGAAATCTCATAGCTTTCTACTCAAAGACCGCACTGTATCTTGTATATACCCTCCTAAATCTTTTCCCAAGTAAATCTACTCATTATATTTTTTTAGAGAATTTTTTAATATTTATTTTTTAGTTTCCGGTGGACACAACATCTTTGGTTTTTGTTTTCTTTTTGTATGTGGTGCTGAGGATCGAACCTGGGCAGCACGCATGCCAGGCGAGCGTGCTACCGCTTGAGCCACATCCCCAGCCCTACTCATTATATTTTTAATAAATTGTCTAATTTCCCATTCTATATATACCATAGCAAGCTGAAGGAACACACAGGTGAAGACCAATCAAAATCTTAAACTTTATTGATCCAGAGATACCCTGTAGATACAACTAGGGGACAGGTCCACTCAGAGAAGGAAACTTACAGAAAGTTTCAGAATAAGCCCTGTCCTATATTATAATTGATGCCAATCTCTTTCAGCTTCCACTCACCTAATAGCACACATTCCAATAAGAAGAACTACAGTTATCAACAAAAGGGGCAGAACAAAGGACTACTGACTGTGCTAACTTTATGGAATCTTTTTTTTTTTTTAATTTTAAGATGTAAAATGCCCTCAGTAAAAGTGGAGTATGATTATAACCCACCTTTCACATTTTCCAATTCCCTATAATATTTTATATTCGATATAAATCTTATCCTAGACATATCAAATTCCCTAAATTTTATACATCAGTCAAGGAAAGTCAAGGATCTTCTTAAAAGGGTAGTTGTATGTGGGGTCGGGGAGGGAAGAAAGATCCACAGATGAAGGTAAATGTAGTTTAAAAGCTTATTCTCCAACACAAAAACTTTTTACTAGTAGAAAACAGAGAGCATGTAAATAAGTAAGACTGTAGAGAAGTGTTATGATTTTGATCTGGACTGTTTCCCCCAAGGCTCCTTTGTTGAAGACTTGGTCTATGATGCAGCAATGTTCAGAGGCAGGCTTTAGGGAAGTGATTGGATCATGAGAACTCTGACTTCATCAATGGATTAATCCATCAATGGATTCATAGCTGAATGGACTATTTGGAAGGTAGAGAGAACTATGGGAGGCAGGACCTTGTTGAAGAGAATGGGTCCTTGGGGTATGCCCTTGGGGACTATTATCTTGTCCTTGGCCCTTCTCTCTTTCTCTCTCTCCTTCCTGGCCTCCAAGAGGGGAGCTATGCTCTGCCACAGCTTTCCACCATGATGTACTCCCTCACCACAGGCCTAGAAACAATGACATCAGCTGACCATGAACTGAAACCTCTGAAATTGTAAACCAAAATAAACCCTCCCCCTTTGTCTTTCACAAGTATCATCTCACAGTGACAAGAAGCTAATTCAAGCAAAGGCTGGAACTCTGCAGCACACACACGACTCACAGGAGAAGCCCCCAGGAGAGTCACAGACATATGGCTATGGGTGCTGAATATGCCAAAATTACTCCACCTGTCTCAGTCACTGTGTGGACTTAGTTTTCATTCTTATGTTCCTCAAACAGGACTCTCAACAAACAAGCAAAGTATAGGCATTTATCTCCACAGATGCACTAATGTACTGCAACTCACTGTGGCGCAGCACCTGCTTCTAAAGCTATACCCTCTGCAGGTCAGTCAGGTGCACCTGGATGGGCCACTCACATTCAGCACACTCACAGTTTGTTTAGATACAGATCTAACTCATTCATTTAAACTACAGTATGGTATTTCATCAAGAACCTATTTTCCCATTTTATTTTTTATAAGAAATGTTTCAGGACAAACAGAGAAAATGAAGAACATGCAGTATATCTGGAATCCATTTTTGTGTACACTGTGAGCTAAATTTAACCCTCCTCCAGATAGACTATTAATAACTAATCCTTCAGCTTCCTGTTAGATTAGAAAGAAGACAAAAGTCAGACTGCATGTCCTCTCAAAGAGCACTGCCTGACAGGCTCACCCAAGAAATATTTTGTTCTCTAAGGGATTTACCTCTGACTTGCTATTTACATTAAGAATTATACTCTGTAAAATGAGATGTTAACTTACAGATAATTTTGGTCTGGTAGATATGCAAATAATCTGTCCGAGGGGGGTATAGTTTTATTGCTGTGACAGAGAGAAACTAATTTGGGATCTAACAAACCTTATTCCAATGCTTTCTCTTCAGATGCCCAAATATTCTTAGAACCAGTTTCACAATCTTGACGATTTCCTCAAATCTTTCCATGTGTTGATTTTGTAATTATTATTCTTTGACACGCTGTGTTATTCTGTACTTGCTGACACAGAGCAGGTTCCCATGTGTAAGCAAGACAGTTTCTGGGTATTCTCTTATTCCACACACATACCTGCCTCCTTCCGCACCAGTCACAGTTTTCATTATCATGGCTCTCTGATAACTGTAAGCCAATGGGAGCAAGTCCTCTACTTTATTAAATAAGCTTTTTGGAGGAATGAGACCATTATTATGAATCTTCACTTTTTTTTAGTCGTTTACTTATTTGTTGTTGCTTTTTATTATTTTTTCTTATTTTCATTCTTACTTATGAATTTTAGAATCAGTGACTGTAAGTTATGTTATTGGGGAATTCTGCAGGGAATTGCTGTCTTTACAAGATTGCTTCTTCATATTGCTATCAACACATATTGCTGTGATTTGAACATGGTTTGAAGTCCCCTATGATTACAGGCTCAGTCCCAAGGTAGCACTGTGGGATGTTGCGGAACTTTTGAGAGGTGGGACCTAATGGGAGGTCCTTAGGTCAAGGAGGATGTAAAATAGTTCAACTGCAACCCTGTGAGCTCTCACAGGACCACCGTTATCAAAAGAGAAAGCCTCGCCTGCTGGTACTCTGTCTCTGCTCCTGTCAGGATGTGACTGTTCAACCCTTCAGAAGCTCCCCACCACAATGTGCTGCCCAGCTGCTACCCTCACCACAGGTCAAACCAATGGGCCCTCACCCTATCTGATCTTGGACTTTGAACCTACACAACTATGAACTAAATACACTTTCATTTTGACTCAATTACTTTGTTGAAGTAATATAAAGCTGACTAACATTTATTCAAGCCTTATTTTCTTGTTAAAGGTTTTAGTATATGCACACTGCACTGATGATAATGTATCCTTACAAAACAGCCATGTTAGATTCTTATATTGCTCTAATTTTAGAAACTATACCATCAAAATAAGCATAGTCATTAAAAATTTAACTGAAAAAAAAATAATTGTTTGTTCTACTCCTGAGTATAATCTGAATATTATACTCACATGTTGGGAGGGGATGTATTTTTTTGTAGAGAAAAACAGTATTATTTGGTCGATAAAGGCTAAACAAAGTAACATATTTCAATTACAAATATTATTACACTGGAAAATATGCCCTTTTTTTTCTTTTTTGGTACCATAGATTGACCCCAAGATGCCTACCAACTGAACCACATTCCCAGTCCTTTTTATTTTGAGACAGGGTCTCATTAAGTTGCTTAGGGCCTAAGTAAGTTGCTGAGGCTGGCTCTGAACTTACAATCCTCCTACCTCAGCCTCCCAAGCCACTGGGGTTATAGGCATATGCTGCCACATTCAGCTGGAAAATATGCTCTTATTTTAACTACTATTATTATTATTATTATTATTATTATTATTATTATTATTATTATTATTATTTAGTTGTAGATTAACAGAATGCCTTTATTTTATTTGTTTTTTTTATGTGGTGCTGAGGATCAAACCCAGTGCCTCACACATGCTAGGCAAATGCTCTGCCACTGAGCTACTACTGTCACAGCCCTTGACTACTCTAATTGTTTTTGAAAAAGTTTAAACGGCTTGAGATAAAATTCACATTTAAAGATTACAATCATGGGCTGGGGATGTGGCTCAAGCGGTAGCGTGCTCGCCTGGCATGCGTGCGGCCCGGGTTCGATCCTCAGCACCACATGCAAACAAAGATGTTGTGTCCGCCGATAACTAAAAAAAAAAAATCAATATTAAAATTCTCTGTCTCTCTCTCTCTCCCCCTTCTTTCAAAATTCTTTAAAAAAAATAAAATTAAAAAAAATAAAGATTACAATCAGTATACTTTTCTTAATGTAGTCACATAAGTTTGCAATTATCACAATATAATTTTACCATCTGTCGCCCAAATGTGTCCATCTATTAGCAATCACTCCATTTTTCCTATTACCTCTAGTCCTAAACAAACACTAAACTACTTTCTCATCTCTAAATTTGCCTTTTCTGGACATTTCATATCAAAGGAATCACAATATTTGGTCTTTCATAATTAATTTATTTCACTTGGTGTGTTTTCAAGTTCATTTCATGTTATAGCATGTAATAATACATCATTCCTTTTTATTGCCAAATAGTATCCCATTGTTTATATATACCACTTTTTGTTTATCATTTCATGATATGTGGATTATCTCCATTTTCTGGATATCATGAATTCATGTACAAGTTCCTGTATGAACACAGAATCACTATGTCATATGGTAACTCTGAAACTGAAGAATTGTCATGACTGTTTTCCAAAGTGGCTATGTGATTTTATATTCCCCCCAATGCTGTATGAAATTTCCCATTTCTTTGTATCTTGGCAAACTTGTTATTATCCATTTCAGTGGCTATGGTGATATCTCATTGTGGTTTTAACTTGCATTTGCCTAATGACTATTAATGCTAAGAATCTTTTCAGGCACTTATTAGCCATTTGCGAATCTTCTTTGGAGAGACATCTATTCAGATACTTTTAGCATTTT